TTTCCACACCCTTGGAAAGAATTTTTCATTCTCTTCTTCAACCGATGGAATCTCACACTATTTTAAATTTAGGGAGTTGAAAGTTTAAAGACTTACCCGTCAGATTATTGTTGGTAGATGAAATAAATATAAACATAAAAGTTGATTCTGGTTGTAATTAACACAAATAAACAATAATTTTATAAATTTGTTTCATAAATTTTGATGGTTGTGTGAAACTAATGAGTTGATAAGTTTGTTGCAAGAATTTAAAATATAATTTATTATTTTCACCTAATTTTGTTAATTAAATTTTCTATTAAAAAAAAAACATAGTTTTAATTATCAGAATTAGAAGGGTTATTGGGTTTTTATCTTGCAAATTGGATTTATTGTCTCACCATTTTTTAAAAGGGTTCTTATCTTTCATTATCCAAATTTGAAAAGACAAGTTTCTAAAATTAATTTTGGTAATTTTCAAAATTTGGCTTCAATTTTAAAAGCACATTTATAAAAAATAGGTAAGAAAATAAATAAATTCATTAGTAAAAATAGTATTTATAAAAACATAAAATTAAAAGCCACCCATCAAATAGTTTCTGAATTTTAATATATAATTAATTTTTTTTTTATATTTAGCTAATTGAATTCTTACAAAAAAAAAAAAAAAAAAAAAAGTTTATAAGCTTAAAAAAATAAATGATTTTCCAAAAATTCAAAATTGGAGTAAAATTTGAAAACATTTGAAAAAGTAAAGACAAAATAAAGAAAGTATTTAATAAGATTTTAAAATAGTCAAAAGTTGATTTTTGAATTTAAACATTTTCAAAATCATTAAAATTTTAATATTTATGACGGAATAAATGAGCTTTAAAAGTTTAAATCTAAACAGATTTTTAAATAATTTAAAATATATTTTAGAATAATTTTGAAGGTTTAAAAATCAATCTAATTTAATACAATAATTATGGGATTTTGCAGATTTTTAATTAATTATTTTTCTTTTCTGTTTTTCCAATACGAAAGAGATTGAGCCACTCACCAATGTCAGCTTTTTCTATGTAATTTTCTGATTGCCAATATTCTTAAGGAATCTTTTAATTTCCCAATATTCAAATTTTTTATTTTTTATTTTTTATTTTTTCAAATCAAACAAGCATACAACTTTTTATACCAATTTTGAGATTTTTTTTTAATTAAATCTTTTAATTTGCCAATATTCAATTATTTATTTATTTATATGTTTTCAAATCAAACAAGCATACAACTTTTTTGGGATTTTTTAATTTTCCAATATTCATTTTTTTATTATATATATATATATATAATCAAACAAGCACACAACCTTTATACCAATTTTGAGATATTTTTTAATAAAATAATTAATTTTTAAAAATACTTTACATATCTTGACTTGAGTTTTTTGTATCGAGATATTAATTTTTATTTTATTTTACAAAATCGATTTATTAGATATAAAATTGAAACTTTAGATTTATAATTTAATTTTAAAAGTTTTATAAAAGATATTAATATCATGGGATATGAGATTATGGAAAATATTAAAATTTACATTAAGGAAAGAAGAGAAAAAAAAAAAAAGGCTTATATATCATTATTGCAACACATTTTTTTTCTTTAATATGGAAACTATAAATAAAAAATATTATCTCTCTAAAAAACTTTAAAATTCAATTTACATATTTTCCGTACACCAACAACATTCCTGCTTTGCTGAATCGGATGCCATTTAGACCAATGGGAACCAAAAAGAAGAAAAGAAAAAGAGAAAAATAAAGAAATAAAAATACTAATCGCTAATGGACCTCTCTGGCATTATCGGCCACGTCGACTTTAGCGGTACACGATAGCAACCGCCGGAAGACGGACGTCAAAGCGGCGCACGATAACTCCTTCGCCTTCTTCAGCGTCGAACACTTCCTGATCTTCTCAGAGTCGTCCTCCTCCGCCATGGCCTTCTTCTTCTTCTTCTTCTTCTTATTTCTCCGGTGAGAAACTTTCTGTCGCATTCCGACTTTGCCGAAGCACTTGTTCGTCTTCTCCGCCACGTTATCCTCTTCTCTGGAGAATGTGTAACTTCTGAGATACATCTGCCGGCAAGAAATGCTGTCGACGACGCGCGAAGTTCGATTCAGTTTGGAGCTGACGGATCGGATGAACTCGGCGTCGGATTCCGGCCACTTGTAGAGGTTTATGTAGGTCGGACGGACGGGGACTCGAGCGTCGTTGATGCAGTTCGATATGCAGACGGAGGCCATGGCGGATTTGGAGGTAAAGAAGAGTTTAGGGATTTGTGAAATTAGTTACGGTTTTATTTATAGATAAAAAAATAAATAAATAAAAATAAAAACGGATGGGTTCGAGCTACAATTCGGCATGATTTGGTGGTCCCTTTAATTAAAATTTCCCTTAATTTCATTTCATTTCCATTAAATTACATTTCCCTTTAAACTTTATTTTAATTTCATCCTCACCATTTAAAATTATTTATCAAATATATTAAAAAAAATTAAACCATAATTAGATATTTGAGTCAAACTAAAACTATAAAATTTATTTAAAGCAGTAATTATTAATTACGAAATAAAATTAATTTGAAACAAATATTTACATGATTTGGAGTTTGACTTAGTCTTACTGACACGTAGGCACTCTCTTCTTCATGTGATTTATTTTGTATTTAATTCTAAATTTATTAATATAATTTAGTATTAAGGTAATTTCTTAAATTAAAGTTTTACTAGAAGCAGTTGAAAAGTTAAAAAGTAAAATTATAATTTTAGTAGGGGGAGTAGATTAAAAAATAAAAAAAATAATAAGTGAAGAAGTTGCGAACATTTTAAGCAAAGGAAAATGAGTACTCATAGGGAGTCATGATGGGAGTGTCTATGCTCTGTTTCTGCTTTCATTTTCTTCATTTATACTTACAAATTATACCTATTGCTTTGCTTCTATGGAACCTCACAATCAACTCCTACCAAACAACTTGGGCTTTATTTTATTCTTTTTTTTTTTTTGGGAATTTTTTACACTATTTTACACGGGTTGCTCGGGTTGGATCAATCGAGAGTAGAGAGCTTTCATGCCAAATAAATCGAGTTTGGTTGAAAATTTGGACCTGCCTCCAGAATCAATTTTAATGTTTTTCCTCCTATATTTATATATAACTTAGATACAAAGACCCAATAAAGTTTCAGACTTACGACATTCCTACCCGTATTAAGCCGATGGTGAAGAAGGGACTCGAGCCATGTTGAGGATTGGGAGCCTCACATTGGGTAATTTAAGAAATGATCATGAGTTTATAAATATGGTGTAACGGCCCAAATCCACCGCTACCAGATATTGTCCTATTTGGGCTTTCCCTTTCGAGCTTCCCGTCAAGGCTTTCAAAGGTGTCTGTTAGGGGGAGGTTGTCAACCCTTATAAATGGTGTTTTGTTCTCCTCCCAACCAATGTCAACCAATGTGGGCTAGGGTCGTTACACAAGGAATCCTATCTCCATTGGTCTGAGGCCTTTTAGGGGAGCCCAAAGCAAAGTCAAGAGAGCTTATGTTCAAAGTGGACAATATCATACCATTGTGTGGAGTCGTGATTTCTAACAAGCCATTGATGAGATAACACCTTGAAAGAGCTATAATTCTAACCTTGTGTTAAAAAAAAAAAAAAAAAAAAACAGTCTCAAGTAGATGGTTTATATGGAGCGTTTTGTAATAACTCAAACGCAATGTTAGCATATATTGTCCGCTTTGATCCATAACGTATCATTGTCAGCCTTGGTTTTAGAACGCGTCTATTAGGAAGAGGTTTCCACACCCTTACAAGAAATGTTTCATTCCCTTATTTAACCGATGTGAGATCTCATAGTCCACCCCTTTGTCCTCGCTGACACACCGCCTGGTGTCTGGATTTGATACCATTTGTAACAACACAAGTCACGGGTAGTATATATTATCCATTTTGGCCTGTTACATATTGACGTGAACCTCACAATTTTAGAACGCTTCGGTTAGAAAGAAGTTTTCACGTCTTTATAAAAAAATATTTCGTTCCCCTCTCCAGACGACGTGGGATCTCAAAATAAGGCTTCCAGCTATCTTTATCAAATATTGAAAATTTATAATTTTAAAATTGTACTCATGTAAGTTGATAACGCACTCAATTTCATATTATTTAAAGAAGAGTTAATATAATGGTTATAGATGGGAGGGTTTTAATTATGTGATAGCACAAAAAAGGAGATTTATTAAATTTTGTTAAAAAAGTAAAGTTTGCTAATGGACCAACCTTTATTTATTTATTTATTTATTTTAATTATGGCAATGGGCCAATCTTATGTTACATTAGGAGCAAGCTTTACGTAGTAATACTAATAATTAGTTCAATTTCCATTGTAATAATTGGACACAAAATTGGGCATTTACCATCCTAATTAGATTTTATTAAAAAAAAAAAAAAGTTAAATTACAATTTAATCCCTACACTTTCGAGTTTAAAATATTTAGAATTATTTTTAAATTAATTGATTTGTTAAATATAAAATGTAATTTTATGTTTAATAATACATTACATTTTAATTTTTTGTTGAGTAGGTTTTTTATATTTTAAAGTTATTGAATAAATAAAAAAATCTATTATATACAAAATTGAAATCGGAAGAATTTATTAATAAAATAGAAAAAATAAAAGATTTATTATATATTTATTAAAAATTTAAAAATTTATTAGAAATAAAATTAAAAGTTTGAGAGAGGTAATAGACTCTAACTTAGTCATTAACATTTTCTTTTAATAATAAATTTTGTTTAGAATTGGGAATTTCGGGTCGGTATTTTTCTTGCAAGTCGGATCTCTCGAAGCCCAATCACAGATATCACGTCCTTTTTTTGGGCTTAAAATTCATATTGGGCCTATACATCGGCCCATTTGTGAGCTTCGGGCCGCCCAAGTCCCATTATGTCCGATTTCTGAGTTTCGTTCACATCAGTTAAACCCTTCAGTTCGGGGCGCCTCAACGATGGAGAGCGTTTCTTGAGTTCTTCCTGCTTAAACCCTGAGCTTCATCAGTTCAAAGCTCTCTCTCCTCCATCGCCATGGGTTTCTTCGATCTCAATATTCCTTACGACGAGCACTCATCTTCATCTTCAATTAGGGTTAATCGCATCAAGATTGTGGCCAAACTGATGGAGCTCGGCTACTCCGGAATCGCCTACAACCGTACGATCAAAGGAGTGATGTCTGATAAGGACCGCTGTACTATTCCTCTCCTTAATGTTTCATCACTTCAAAGTATCCTTCCAACCTTCTCTGCCTCGTTGGAGTTCCACCGCAATCTTCTCGGCGTCCCGCGGTCCTCTCCTTTCCGTCAGTACACGCGTCTTACTATTTGTATCAATAGTTTGCAGGAGATTCTGGCAGTCAATTCTGGCAACCTCATTCTGAAGACCTACGATTTGATTGCCGTGAAGCCTCTTAATCAGAATGCTTTTGAGCAGGCTTGTGAGAAATTGGAGGTTTGTCGGATTTATTTTTGTGTTTATTTTGTTTTGTTATTGTTAAATCTAGCAATTTGCTTAGATTGTTCAATGATCTTGTTTGGAGTTGAGAGACAATACTTGCATAAGCTAGTAATCCTATTTGCATTTTTTTTTTCCTAATTCGAACTTATCATACTTTCCTTTGTCTTTCACAATTTAGTCATATTAACTGTGTTGTTCATCACGTAGATAGACATAATTGCAATTGATTTTGCGGAGAAACTGCCTTTCAGGTTGAAGCAAGGTCACATAAAATCTGCAATTCAGGTTTGTCAATTATTGATCTTTCGTGTTTTGTTTTACTTGAATTATTATGGCATAAATAAATGTATCATCCTTTTGATCAGTGGCGACTGACTTATATGTTCTGGCGATGTCCTTTTTTCTCACAGCGTGGAGTTTACTTTGAAATTATGTACTCTGATCTTCTTTCAGACGTTCATGCAAGGAGGCAAATGATATCTACTACTAAGGTTAGAATAAAGCATCAAGTTCTAGTTCATTTCTGGGGACGATATCGTGAAAGTTAGATGGCAAAAATCCATATCTGAACTACCTCTGTCAAACTTGCTCATTAATGCTTATTTTCGGATCCAAAGTGTGTTCGGACAAATCTTTCTAATATTATGCTCCTCAAAAAAGAGGGTGTCCATAGAAAGCTGTAGTGGACAATTGGTCTTCTAGAAGTGTTATGCTCTAGATCTTTGTATTGTACTTGGTGTTATTTTCTTGTTTTTGTTTACGAATGACACTTATTTCTTATCATGAGCGAGCTTGTGTTATGATCTGACCTTTAGCTTGTTGAACTTTCAGGTCTTGGTGGATTGGACAAAAGGAAAGAATCTCATATTATCTAGTGCTGCCTCTTCTGTAAATGAAATTAGAGGACCTTTTGATGTTGCAAACTTGTCATCCTTGCTCGGTGTCTCTATGGAGCGAGCAAAAGTTGCTGTTTCAAAAAATTGTCGGTATGAGTCTTAGAAAAGAATTAAAAATAAACCTTGTAGTTTGAGAAAAATACCATGAATATTTACGTGTTTTTATATGTACTGCATTTCAGCAATCTTATAGCTAATGCTTTAAAGAGAAAGCAGTTCTACAAGGAGACGATTCGAGTTGAAAGGATAACATCAGATGATAAGTTAGATTCGAATGACCCTTGGTCAGTGGATTTGTTCAAATGGGATCCTATATCAAGTGGCGAAGGTGATTTGCTATTGGATGATATAGCAAAATCTTTTGCTGCCACTAATAAATCAAAAATTGTGAAAGCCATTGATTTCACTTCAGTCATTGACAACATGCCTCCACAAGGTTTTCTAATCAAGAATGTAATAGCAGGCTCTGAGGCAAAAGTGTCGTTGAATGATAACAGAGGCTTGTCGTGCGTTGTTGATGCCATTGAGCCACCAATTGCAGTAAATGGAGTAATTCAACAGTCCTGTCCTCTTGATGGAAAACATTGTTCTACATCCGATCGTCAATGCTCTGTAATTGAAAATCCTAAAATTTCACGTTCACATGATGATGCAGGAAAAGTTGGAAGTAATTCTGATGAAGACAAATGCACTGTTGAAGAAATTGTGCAGCCCAAGGCCTCAGTGCAGGAAGAACCTATTGAAATGGACATTGACAATGTTCAACCGCAAAACCCGCTACCCAGTAGCGAGTTAAATGTAGTATCCACAAATGTGTTTGTGCATTATCCTACATCTACCAGAGATGTATTAGATGTTGTTTCAATAAATGATGGAAAAGAAACTTTTACAATGTCAGAGGATGTTGCTTCTCACCGGCATGAGTATTGCTTAAAAAGTTCTGATACATTGTCTGGTTTAGAAAGTGTGTTGAGGGACAAAAGTTCAACTAATTTGGTTTCAGAAAATCAAATGAATATGACTACGGTATTAGATGGTTCATTTACAGCTGAAGAATGTTTAGTTGGTGCAAGACTTGGGGAGCCTATGGATGTAGCAGCAGTCGAGGATTGGGTTTCTCCTCTTAGTTCTTGTATGATTGATATAAAAGATGATTATTTGATCTCAATTCGACAACAAACATCTGAGGTGTTGATGGAAGAGCAAAAAAGTGAAGAAGCTGACCCTCAGATCAAACCTCCACCTGTAGATCAGTCTATATCTGGCGTAATGTCAACAGGTACCTAATTTTCACTGAGATTTAAGACATGGAGGCTCACTTTTATATTGAAACTCCACAGATTAACACTCTTTCCGTATACCCAACTCTTTTAGTTTGGGATACACTAACTGAAACCTCCATTTTGATTGAACTCTGTTTATGTCCTGTTTGATTCTGTTAACTATGAAAACCGAGTCAAGTTTTCATCAATTGCTTGATTTTTTTTTCTTATGAAACTAATAAATGCAGGGACATGTCGTGCAAAACGAAAGAGACATCAACATCATCCAGCATTAAAGCTTCTGCAGTTAACCAATCCTAAGGTTTTCAAGAGAGTTCAGGAAACATATTCAGAGAAATACCGATCAAAACGGAGGAGACATCGTCCAGCGCTACTGCTTCCATTCAAGCGCTTAATCAATCCTCTGTTCTTCAAGAAGGTCCGCAAAACTAAAAGCTAGCAGTACTATTTTCTTCGGTTTTACTCGATTGATATATTCAATTTTGTTTATAATAGCTGGATATACATTTTGCTCCAATTAGTCTCAATGAGTTATTCTTCACTATCGAGTTTCAAAAGTTTGCTCCTTTTTCCTCCTCAGAAAAATATTTGAGTGTTTAGGTGTAGAAGTTAGTTTGAGCTCATTACAGAGTCCAAACCAAATGGCTCACCGGGATCCAACTGTGTGGCTTGAGACTTCATGAATCTTCCTCACTGCTTGTGAAGCCGAACGGAGGCATCATAGAACTTCATTGGTGGAAATGGAATCATACATGTGAGTATTTATTGCTTTTTTGAATAGTGAACTAATAAATCATCCTATTTATGATATTACAGTAATTTTTCAGTACATTTTTTTTAACAATATTGGTAGGAATCATGATTCTCCACGATGGTATGATATTGTCCACTTTGAGCATAAGCTCTCGTGGCTTTGCTTTGAGATTTCCCAAAATGCCTCGTACGAATGAAGATGTACTTTACTTATAAACCTATGATCATTCCCAAAATTAGTCAGAATGGGACTCCCTCCTTACCATCCTCAACAAATATTTATCTATAAGTTTCTTTAACAGAGTACTTAAAAAAGCTAGGTAGCAACTTTTATTGAGGGCCGTATAGAATAGAATATGGAAAGAACCTAATATTGTGAAGATGGCGACTGTCACCAAACTAAGTTGCAATCCCTTTTGTTGTTGTCTTACCAAATGACAATGACTGAAATTCTCTCCACCTTTTTGACTTATCTTGGCGTTTATCCCGAGCACTAAAAACACACCTCGAATCAATCCCCCAAACGGCTCACCCAATCTTTCAGCCTGCCCATGTCAATCCTAACCTATGTCAAATCCTTTTCACAAAAAAGATGAAAACGAGCTCCATAATCGATTAAATATTACAATTACCCTTCACCATTATTAATACAAATATAGTTAGAGCCAACTCAAACTTTGGGTTCCATACATGGAAAAAGAAAAGAGAGAGAAGCCTAAATAAGCAATGTAAAACTCTCACGCAACTGAAAGATGGTCAAAATGGAAGAGGCCGATTGCAACTAGAGCTACATTATTATTTTTTGCTTTTGAGAGATTCATGGAATAAGATTCGTAGAATATGCATCTACAAAGTACTTGATCCAATTATCATCACAATTTGCCTCTTCTTCTTCTTCTCCTTGTTCTTCCTCTTGCCCATGACTCCATTGCACTGGATAATTCTTTGCAACGTCGTAGTTGTACCTTGCAAATCGTCCTCTAATCCTTGGTCGACTATCGGCCAATGACTTCCTACAAGCATACTAAAAGAACACAAATAGTATTATGAGAATTTTTAGCCATATGAACAAAACCTACAAAATTATTATCATGGTGCGAAGATATGAAGAAGATTGATTGATCGATCGTTTTGTCATTTGTGATTCAACAAATGTTTTCTTTGCTTTTTAGACCAATTTTGGGATAAATTTAAAATCTGCCTTTTCCATGGTTACCATCCAAATAAAAAGGTGTGGTTTGAATGACAAAAGCAAAAAGATGAAGGATGAGATTGAAAATTATACGAACAATACTCAATAAATTTGCATAAATTACTTATTTTAGTGAAGAATCAAACCATTACATTATTTGAATTATTATATTTATACTATAAGGTTAGAAATTATCTTTCCAATTACTAACTTTATGGTTGTTGGCATATAGAATCTATCAAATTATATGTAGGTACAATAAGAAATGAATTATTCTTTAGAATTATTTCATAATTTCAAGTAGGGTAAGATAAAGAAGAATATAAGAGAGAACAAAAAAAAAAAAAAAAAAAACCTTAATCTTCTTGTTGAAGTTCCTCTGGTTTCTTTTGCTCCTATACCTTTGAATTCTCTCCTTCTTCTCTTCTGGACTGTACCTACAAGCTCTGCTCATCCCGTCAATGGCGATGCTACTTTCACATGAAACTGGACTCTCTGCTCTCTGATTATTCCTCTGCCATACCCATTTTTAAGTTTATTACTCAAACCCCATTTAATCATTTGTATATTAATTTAAATATTATACTCGAGACCCAAAAAGAAAAAAAGAAACTCTTTGGGTTCTTGAAAAGCCAAGCTTTTTCAATGATCCTTTGCATGGAGGTTGAGCATCATGGTTGAATATTTCCATTAATAGGAGAAATTATTTGAAAAAAACTGAAATAATAATGTGACTTTTTGACTCATTTATTAAATGAAAAAAGGGTATGTGACGGCTCATTTTTTGGATTTTAAATTCGAGTCTTGAATAAATTATTGTATTATTGGAAATAATCAACTTTTTCATGTTCTGGAATGGTGTTTAATTGTGTCATCTTGAAGTGATGATAAACCTCTCACCTGAAAATCACCGGCGGGAAGGGATAGCTTGTGTTGGAGGATATCGAAGTAGGGCGGCGGTGGCGGCGGCGACGAACCGGTTTGTTGAAGAAGGCCATTGGTTTTGAGAGAAGGGTTAAGGAGGCTAAAAGTATGGTGAAATAGAATATTGTTAGTTGGTGGACGAATTGTTTGGGGTTGCGGCGGTGAAGTCAGTGAACCGTCGCCCCAGCTGTCTGGAAGTTCAGAGTTCCATTGCTTGATGGAGGAACAAGGTAACCAGTCAAAATCAACACCGGCGGTGTCGGTGGAGGAATGCGAGGCGGCGGAGAGAAAGTGGGAGATGGTCATTGGGACGGCGGCGCGTGAGTTTTAGAAAGAATAAGATCAGAGTGTGCGTGAAGGGGAAGGGGAGGCTCGAGAGAGTTGGAGATTGCAAATGCGCCATTGAGGGACTACTTATGGTACCACGCGAGCTCGGATGATGACGTGGAATATGACGCCACGTATTTATTATTATTATTATCGTCTTTGGAAAAAACACATATTTTTAATATCGTTGACTTTTTTTTTTCTAACTATTTAGAATATATATAATACTACAGAAAAATACTCTTTATTGTGAACAAAACTGAAAGTTATTTGGATGAAAAATTATTTTTCAATACAAAACCATTAACATTTAAACTTTGTTTGTGTACCAATTCCGTTTAAAGAAATATATATATCATATTCTGAGAACAACTCAACTGGTTAAGACTTATATCATTAATCAAAAGATAATAGATTTAAATTTATTTTGTTTATTTACTGGATCTTGCAAGAAAAAGAAAGATTGATATACACCTTCCGAAAATAATTCAATTAGTTAAAACATCAATTATTCATAAAGAATTTGTTTTTATTTAACTGGTTAAAATGTATATTATTAATCAAAAGATCAGAGATTTGAATTTGTTTTGTTTATTTAATGGGTCTTACCAAGGAAGACAAAAATTAATATACACCTTTTGAAAATAAATCAATTGAATAAGACGTATATCATCAACTAAAAGATCAGATGTTTGAATTTGTTTTGTTTATTTAACCGGTCGGGGTTGGAAGGAAGACGAAAATGGATGGTGGGGTCCTCATAAATGCATCAAAGCTCGAATCTTGCAGGTAAAAAAGGTTTCTTTATGAAGAAAAAATTGGAATTGAAACTTTGAAATGAAGTTGTAGCAGTACAGCCCACTTCCATGGCGGGCCTCTCTGAGGAAGAAAGCTTCGAAAACTTTGTTCAGCAGCTCCAACCAATATGTTCGAAAGGCAATTTTAGAGATGCCCATATCAGGAAATGGAAACTAAGAACACAGGTCATTTTAGTCGGAATTAAAGGCGTTTTGAGATAGATACCCATTTAATTGCGTATGATTTAAAACTAAGTCGAGTCGAGTACCGAGTGAGTTGAGGAATCATTTCGAGTCGAAGCCTGTAAAAGATAAGGAAGAAGAATAAGAGTCATTGTCATGAAAAAGAGAAGAACTCAATGCTTTTTGAAATAATATTGTGAATGAACTCTAAATATTTCACTTTCCTTTGGGAGTTTTGTCAGTCTTCAATCAATCATGGGGCACCCATCAACGAATATGGAGAAAATGGAGATCATCACAACTTTGAATTAAACTTTCCCATTTGTAGACCATAATTTCAATCAACTTGTTTTATTGTTTCATTTCTTTTCCTCTTCAGAACATAAACTTCGTTTTTCAAAACAAATACGCAACAATCAATCAAATTTTTGAACGTAAAGTGAGAAACAATATTGTTTATTTGATCTTTGAGTATACAGTTCGAAAAATTGTTTAAAGTGATCAAAGTTCATTTGATAGTTGACTAACGAAAAGGTATCGGGCGATCAATTTGAGATCTTTTCGTTGACTAAAACTTTTCCTATCTTTTCCTCGTCCCATCTCTAGTGAAAGCTGTTGTCATTCAGCTATGAACGTTGTTGTCGTTGTCGTCGTTGTCGTCGTCCTTGATGGTCTTCAATCACCAAGGATCCCTTCATGAAAAAATCATCACTTTGTTCCATATGATTCCAGATTTGAAACTTCCATAGTTTGGAACAAATGAGAGCCTCCCTTCAGTGATCATCCATGAACTAAAGACCTCCGATGGTCCAATGGAAGGGAGCTTGGTGATGGTAGTATCAGTAAAACTATTAGAAGATAAAAGGAAAGGAGAGAGATAGAGAGAAAGTCTAGTTAGTAAAAGAAATATTATCATAACGTTCCCAAATTAACAAAGTAGCCATACGACCCCTTCGTTAGACAACTAATGATCACAAACATCCTTCAATCTCGGAGACTAAAACTATCTTCTACGAAGCATTCAATCACCCTATAGATATTAAACTCAAACTTCAACAACCAAAAATAAATCACTAAGCTCAGGTAAGAGATTAAAAGATACCTTAATCACTAAACTCATATAGATATTCACATATTATGAGCGTTTTTCTTTAAATCCATCTAATAGAATTCTTCTATTTTATCCTTTGAGTTGGTGACACAATTGGAATCTAGCTTTGGATTTAGACACACCGATGTCAGAAATTATATCAAATCCAATGAAACAGCCCAAGCCCAAGCTCACCGCTAGCAGATATTGTCCTTTTTAGGTTTTCCCTTTCGGATTTCCTCTCAAAGTTTTTAAAAAGCGTATGCTAAGGAGAAGTTTCCACACCCTTATAATGAAAGCAACCAACAGCAACACTACACAAAAACATACAAACTTGGAGGGAGATAAGTTCATCATACCTGTCTAATTTGGCTTTGATCATCATGCTTTCAAATGCCTGTCTATCTTTTCATGTTTTTATTTGTAAATGGCTGGCGATGAGAATCTACAGCTTCTGATATCTCTTTCATTTTGCAGCTTCAATACAAGCATGGGAGCAAAAGAATTTCCTTTTCTGCATCTAATTAGTATAAATATGTAGAAGACCAACCAAATTTATGAACTTGGCCTGTTTTCTCATTTACACTTCAAAAAAAATCAATATACCTGTGATAGACATTGTCAAGGCAATTGTGTTAAGCTTTAGATGCACTTCTGTGCTATCGTGCACCAAGAACAATCAATATACACACTTGTAAAATGCAAAAATAATGCGGCCTTCAATGTGTCACAAGCCTCACCGGAACAACACAAATTAGCTCTGCACAACATAAACAAGTGGAAGCTTTGTTAGAAGTTAAACAGTAAGCATATTCAGTGGCACATCTACAAGTTCCAACACTTTACATTTATATCTAACTCATTGCTGCCTTCTTATCAGAAAAGAACCTTTCCCATAATCAAAATAATCTTCTGCCAGCTTAATAAGATAACAACAAGTTTAATGCCACTCCATGCTCACACGTGACAAGTGTAACGACCTAAGCCCACCGCTAACAGATATTGCCTCTTTGGACTTTCCCTTTTGGACTTCCCTTCAAGGTTTTTAAAATGCGTCTGCTAGGGAGAGATTTCCACACCTTTATAAAGAATGTTTCATTCTCCTCCCCAGCCGACGTGGGATCTCACAATCCACCTCCCTTCGAGGCCCAGCATCCGAGCAAGTTAAGAACATATCTTTTCTGGCACTTCACTCTTGCATTTTAACTCTACCTAAACAACATCTTACTCTATCATAATTTATTATTCTTCATGAAAGACAGGTATGCAGTAAATCAACACACAGATTACTTGAATTATCTACTACTTCACAATGTAAATTTTCGTTCTTTTTTACTTCAATAATTTACTAAATTTACCTTAAAGATCTTCTTTCGTCTAAATAAGAAATCCATTCGACTAATAGGGGAAAAAATAACCTTATAATGGAAAATTAAAAACAGATACGCCCACTACCAAAACAATGTATACCAGGTAGAAAGAAAATATTCAGTCAATAACATTAAATACTAAGGACGCTCTAATTCAGGGTGTACGACATCCGAATTCCAAAAGTTAATACCAGACAGACGACTACCTGCAGTAATTATTATGATATGCTTGCACGTAGGAATCCAACCGGGCTTTGTCCCCCAAATGCTTCATCGTCAAAATCTTCGTTCGTGGAATTTTCTTGACATATCAACTTGGTCTCTTCCATAGGATTAGAAGCCTTCATAACCTGTGGACTTTGAGACATCTCGTCATGATCGGACCCATGATTGTTATCTATGTCATGCTCCACAACTTGCCTCACGTCACTGTAAATTTGTTCGGTTCCTTTAACATCATCGATACACGGGGGATCTGTGTTGAGCTCGGAGCAAATGTCATATCCAATGTTTTCTCCAGATGCATGATAAGCTACTGTCACAAGTCCATGATCAGATGATTGGTCAATGACATCTTTTTTGGGTCTCCTCCATTTCTTAGTAGATGAAGTACCATCATCCTCAAAATCTTCTTCCTCGCGTTCTCTATGCAAATAAACCCACAATTTTCTTTCACCATCAAATTGCACGCAAGGATCGCGTTCATAATGTAATCTGTCCAATGCGCCACTAACAACTTGATTAACTTGTGCATCAGATACATCTTCCATAACATATTGTGAATCTCTTATCAACGTACACACATCTGCTCTGGTGCCAATACTTCCTGGCAATCGTGCAGTAGCATCTCTCACAAGACAAAGAATCGTGACATGTGGAGGGCGATCTTTCTTTAGCATGAAATGATCCCGTGCCTTAGATGTAGGCTTGCCACCACACCTTCTTAAGGGAGCAACAATAGACTTTTTACCATCAGCTGCTGTGTAAGAGAAAGCACGATCGGGAATTGAGTACCTTAGAACTTCTTCCCGACGAAAATAATCCCTCACCTCTTCAGTACTAGAGCTAATAGTATTAAGACTCTTCTGAGCCCTCAAGTCCCTAAACCTTTCTTTCTCATCTACGTTAAACTGCATTAAAGAGGCAGGTGGTGCAGGAAGACTTCCTATTAGTTGAAGAGTTTCTTGGCCACTTTTAAGCCAATTGGCAAATGAGTCTACCAACTTAACAAGCATCTTGTGAGGAAGACCCCAAGCTTCAGGTGATGCTGCCTCTTCAATGGCCTCGTAATCTGACGAACTTCGAGAAACTGGGCCAATCCATGACCATGTTTTTGTTGATTTTTCATAAATTGCTAGCATCTTCCAGCCCTTTGCTCCCAAAGGAGCAGTTTTTGATGAAAATATCTTCAGAACCCCTCTCACCAAATCCAAAAGTGGTTCTTGCGTCTCGAGAATGCTAGGATCCCCAGGGTTAGATTTCACACGATCTACTATCTCTTGAACTGTTAGCGAAGGAACATTTACTTCCTCAGCCTGTTCTAAGTTATTTACATCCGCCTTATTATCATGAGAAAGATCTAACGTGAAGTCACCCTCATGCCGTTTCTTCTTCTCCTTAATGGGTTCTAACATATCTTCGGGAAGTGGAGTAATCGTGGCCAGGCGAACTGCAGTAAGAAGATGCATGATGGAGAATGAAAAGCCAGTGTGAACCGTAGGTGTAATCAACAGGAACGAATTTCTCTGAGGCTTGATTTCCTGCTCCATATCCAGTGTCCCCATTTCTGTAGCGGGAGGCTCAGATCTTCCCACATCAGAACTACAACCGTCGGCCTTCTGCCTCTTCTTCTTCTTCTTCTTCAATGGAGTGGAATCATTAACTTGTTGGAGGGTGTCACTCTGCAATTCACCTTCATCCTTTTTATCCATTTCTGTCACATTCCCCTTCACTTTCCTTTTCTTCTTTACTGAGTTACATCCTAGTAGGGAACCATTAGGTCTTTCACTGGAAATACCCATAAATGATTCACTTTGCAAACCTGCCTGTGGAAATCTATCAGCTCCATAATCATCTTCAAATAATCTCATCTCGTTGGAATTACCTTCCTCGTCAACAGCATAGTCGTAAAGATTTCTGGACTGCATTGCAGAAAGATCATGATTACCCCTGCCTTTCCGTTTTCCCTCTGCAGTGAAGGACTTAGATGAGGATTTACGTGATCTTTTGCTAGATTCTGATTGCAATCGACCATTATTAAACATTTTGGAATTTTTCTTCACTTCATCATCTTCATCATCACTGAATGTATCCAAAACTGGGAGGTAGTTCTTTTCTGACACTTTAGAGGATAGGTCTTGGAAAGAACCAGAGTCTTGAATCTTGCCCAGCCTTGTATTCATAGTGTTAACTCCACTTAAGGCGTATCCATGTTGAGGAGATTTATTAACCGTCTTTTTGGAGTATGATATTGGATCAAGAGTACCAATGTGCTCCTTTATATCATTTTTGACATACTTGACCTTTTTAGCTTCTAAACCAGAATTCAACGACGAAAACTGTGAAACTTCCATTACACTGGGATAGGCCAACTTGCTCCTCAATATTGGATTGCCATCCTCATCATCTTCAAACTGTTCAGATGATTCTGATTCAGTTTCTTCGCCTCTAACGAACTTTTTGTTTCCTTTGGAGGAAGCAGGGTCTGATCCCATTTTCTGGACAAATCTTCCTTTAGTTTTCTTTTGTGATGGTTTAGCTCTTAATTCAGAGGGTACATGTCCCTCATTTATCTGAGGAGAGGGAGATCTATACGCTTTGTAGTTAAGATCAGTAGGCTCCATAGCAGTCTTCCAGTTCTTGCCCCTAATGCTCCGGTCAGCATTTTTAAGCAGTGGATCTGTCGCAAAAGACTTCCCTCGAGTCTTGTTATGTCGGAGTGAACCAGCAAGACCTTCAGAGTCAACTTTAGTACTTTTATGTGGAGGCTGAGAAATGCTGGGCTTCATAGATTTTGTCTGATCCCTAATTGACTGGGCTTTTTTGGAAGGATTGTAGGATGACCTCATACTGACTGGCTTTTCAGCCACAACACTCCTCTTTCGAACCAAATTTACATTCTTGTTCTTGCCATATAAATCACCTTTTGATGACAAAGGAAGTCCAATGAAATTGTCAAAAATGTTACCCCTCAAAGCCTCATATCTCTTACTAGCTTCTAGAACCCCCTTCTCCATCCCACCACCGGGTGGGGCCCTTAGATCCCGTGGGGTACCCTTTCTGTTGGTCGTTTCTTTAGTAGCATTACCGATCCTCGTCTCGTCCCTTATCCTAAGCATTGGGCCTGAGTAATATCCGCCTACCTTTCTCCGTTGAGGGAGATCACCTATAGAACTATAGGGCGTTGAGTTAATATCTAAATCGTGATAAGCTGATGGAAGGCTGACCATAGGTTCCATCAGAGAAGGAAACTTGGATCCGGCCAACTTAAATATACCCTTGGAATTCTGCTTTCCATATTCAGGTGCTTCAAGATTAGTCAACCGACCTCCTAAAGGAAAATCTAAGTCAGAACTTGCATTATATGAAGAAAAGTTGTGCAATTTAGAAGCCACTTTCTTGTCCTTGAATCTTCTCCGAAATCCTTCCCCTGATACTCTATCTGATGAGTCAGTTTCTAAACCATCGATCCTCTCATAATCGAAACTTTTCTGACTTCTCATAAGATTTAAGATACGGAGCCTCTCTTCCATGCTGTATCCTCTACAGTTAAGCCAATCATCTCTCATCCAACAAAGTCTGCTAATCATATTGTTCTGATGCTTCCTCAGAAGATGATAGTGTTGCCGCCTTTGGAAAAATTTCAGACCATGACGATAAAGCGCAACTCTCGGCTCACATAAACCCCCCTTCAACATGCTAAATAACATCTTTATTGGGCTTCCAAAATGGAAGTTGCTACCCGTAAAAAGCTCTTTTAGCGTGAGCATATACGTCTCTTGGTCCATATCTGGGAGGAACTTAGAGAGGTTAAACTGCTCCTCGTCGCTTAGGCATTCATTCCACACATCAACAGACAATATATCTTCCAAACCCGAAAGATCATACAACTCAAGAGGAATGCTGCAAGTTTGATCATCAACATGACAGAATTCCACCCCTGCCTCTCCCCATTCCAGCGTATCATAATCATCAGACCCTGCCCCAGAATCTACATCATTAATCTCATCATCATCATCATCAGACTCCACAGCAGAGGTATGTCTGTGAAGCTCATCCTCGTCACTGGATATGCTCTTCTTACTCCCAGGTGAAAACTCATAGTCAAACCTCGAAACCTTAAAATTGTTCTTCTCAATAGCCATGGACCATTTATTTTAACCCAAATCAATCCTAAGACAACACAGAACAAAAACCGAATTAACTCCTCCGACTATCAAATTCCAAGAACTCCAAACCGGAACATAACCAAGTCTAGACCCTAAACAGCAATTATACGCTCAAAATAAAGAGGAAAAAAAAAATCGAATTTACAAACATCAAAGCAAAAGCAACACAAATTTAGAAAAAAAAAAAAAAAATTACCTCATTCGCGATTAGATTAACTTGTTGATGATATCCAAAGAAGCCATAGCGGAAATCGGAAGGCACCAAAAGAGAAAAGAAATCGTGAAAACATTAAATAATAATAATAATAATAATAATGAAAACCCTAGCCAGAAGGCGGTGGTGTGTGTGTGTATATATATATATAACCGTGTAGAAGGAGACGAAGAGCAGGTCGAAAAGGATTGAAGAAGACGACGATGACGTGGACGGAGAAGGAACGTCGGATTGCGAGGAAGAAGAAGAAGAAGAAGAAGAAGAGGAGGAGGAGGAGTGGAAAAGACGAAAAGGGGCAGAAGAAAGAGAAAGCGTGAGGGAGTTGGAATTGGTGTCGACGAAGATAGCAATAGCATCAGAGAAAAGAAGAGCTTAGGGCGCACAGACACACACACACACACCAGAGACCACTGAGTCAACTCGGGCATCGCCATTCCGACTGACGGGCACGGGCAGCCCATCTTTCCCACTCTCACCGTTGGATCTCCAATCATCACATCCCCCTACGACGACGTCGTTTCGTCTCGAATACTAGTATATAAATCATCACATCCCCTTCGACGGACGACGTCGTTTCTTCTCAAATAATATATATATTCCTTCTAATTCTATTATTAATTTAGGAGTGGATCCAAATAAATTTAAATATAAGAAAGAATTATATCAAATTCCAAGTTTGGTGGTCGACCTCAAATGAGGTACTTACTGAGCGAACCCGGTTCATCTGTTTCTAATCTTTTTTTTTTTTTTACCTAATTAAAAGTCAGTTAATAAAATATACTGTGTTATAAACACCATACTAGTGTACATTATTCTTCCTCAAATAAATTAGCTTTTTTATTATTTGGGATTTTTTTTTTTAATTTTGAATTTGAATTTTATATTTTTATTAGTTTAGTTTAGATAGGTTTAAAATATATATATATATTTTAATTTAAATTCTTGTATTTCTAAGACAAATTTATACACCATTATAACTTTGTATTATACAACGTTATTATGGCAATGTATGAAGAAAACAAAGTACCCTGATAAATCACTTTAGTTAAAATTTAGACTATTGTTTTTATTAATATTCTTATTTTGAAAAATGCAATTCCGAGTATTTTAAAACTATATATTAAGACATTTAAGTTCTAAAAAACTCGCACCGGATAGTTGTGTTCTTCATCGTCCTCAGTCGACCGCTACTTTCAGGCCGGCTATGATCTTCCTCATTCTTACTAACACTCTGTTCATCTTTCAAGTCGCCATAGCCTGAAACTAGAACTCCAAATTTCAACTCTGCAACTCCTTTCTTCGTTGTTTTTCTTGGTTGTTCTGAAGAGAAGTCGATGGAGTTCTCTGATGAAAACAGGGTGAAAGAAAATCCAGCAGAATGCGTGCTGGAGAGCGTCGAAATTGATCACATGGTGGCTGATGAGAAAAGAGACGAACTAAGAGATGTAAAGCAGGCGGACTCGAAGCAGAGCAATTGCAGTGACGAGGTGAAGAAGACCGTCGTCGAGCCTTCTCAGCCGGTCGTTGGAGGTGGAGGACGACGGAAGGGATTTAACATGTTGAGGTTTCTGGAAGTCCCAGTTGCCGGAAAAGAAGAGGAAGCGTGGAAGACGATTGAGAAGCGTTTTCATCATCAAGCGCCTGATGGAAAACTTTCCCGCGACAAATTTGGAGCCTGCATTTGTGAAATTCTTACCGTTTCTTTTTGATTAATCTCCATTTTTTTGTTCTTGATTTGGATATTAATATCGTGGAATTTCGCGTTTTATTCTGATTTAGGGACGAAAAAGGAGTCAGCGGGAAAGGAATCAACAGATTTTGCTGCGGAACTGTATGATGTATTGGCGAGGAAAAGACAGATAAAAGCAGAAAAAGGGATTACACTGCAAGAGTTGAGAGCGTTTTGGGAAGATTTGATAAAAGACGACCTACATTCACGGCTTCGGATATTCTTCGACTTGTAAAAACTTTCTTAGATGTTATAACTTTATTCTTCTGTACTCGAATCGACGATTCTGAAGAACCTGTGTGTTTCCAGGTGTGACAAAAATGGCGACGGGAAAATCTCAAGGGAAGAAGTGAAGACGGTATTGGAGTGGAGCGCTTCTACAAACAAATTGAGAAGCATCAAGAAACAATCTGGAAAACTCTCATCTCTGATCATGGAAGAGCTTGATCCAGACGGCAACGGATTTATTGAGGTACTTCAAAAAGAATATGAAAATTTTCTGTTCACTTTTAAGTTCATCTAAAAGAATTGATGTGGCTTTGAATAGATTGAGCATATGGAAGCTCTAGTGAAGGAAATGTGGAACTCTGCAGAGTTGCAGAGCCAAGAATCTAGACTTCTGGCATTAGCCCCAATTCTAGGAAGATGCAAAACTCCAAACAGCAGATTTGCGAGGGAAACAAAAGAGTTTATCATAGGGAATTGGAAAAGAGTCTGGGTTTTGACACTGTGGGTAGCAATAAATATTGGTCTGTTTGTTTGGAAGTTCATAGAGTTCATGGAGGAGGGATCATTTGAAGTGATGGGTTATTGTGTTAGTATTGCAAAAGGAGCAGCTGAGACTCTCAAATTCAATATGGCTCTCATTCTGTTTCTTGTCTGTAGAGGCACATTGACCGCTCTTAGATCCACCGCTCTCAACTCCATATTCCCTTTTGATGATCATATTCACTTCCACATGGCTGTGGCTGCTGTCATTGTAGTGGCCACTTTGCTGCATACCATTATGCATTTGGCATGTGATTTTCCAAGGTTGATTTCATGCCCAAAGAACAGATTCATGGCAACTCTTGGGCCAAATTTCAACTTCAAGAAGCCAACTTACGGTGATTTGGTTGCAAGTGTTCCTGGTGTTACTGGAATCCTCATGATCGTTATAATGTTCTTTTGCTTCACATTGGCGACTCCTTTATTCAGGAGGCATAAACACAAGTTGCCGCCACTGCTTCAACATTTGGCAGGCTTCAATGCTTTCTGGTATGCACATCATTTGCTTCTTCTGTGCTATATCCTACTCATCCTTCATGGCCACTTCATATTCCTAACTCAGGACTGGTACAAGAAAACGGTACGTTTATTGTCGTCGTATTTCGATTAATCTAACGTTAATACACACATTCATACAACGATCTCAATCTCCATTTGCAGACATGGATGTATCTAGCAGTCCCAATACTTCTGTATGTGTGTGAGAGATTTCTTATAAAATTCAACCAATTAAACCATAAAGTCAATGTGAAAAAGGTACAAACATATCTGCAGGCCATTTATGTGTTCTGGGAGGCATTGCCGAGCAAACTAAACAAATTCTTCTGATTTTGTTGGGTCTTTCAGGGAGTAGTTTATAATGGGAATGTTCTAGCTCTTTACTTGGAAAAACCTGAAGGATTCAAGTATAAAAGTGGAATGTATCTGTTCGTTAAGTGTCCGGATATATCCAAATTTGAATGGTAATATCTCATGATTGTTTTAGGATGTTTGGAAGTATGATAACTTGATTTGGGATGTTCTTCACTGGATACAGGCATCCATTCTCTATCACTTCTGCTCCAGGAGATGACTATTTAAGTGTTCATATACGGGCACTAGGAGACTGGACAGGAGAGCTCAGAAGGAGATTTGAAAACGTAACCATTTATTTCTACTGTCAAACTCTTATGCCCTTTATTTATCTCGGTTGGGTTTGGTATAGAGTTCTTCATTGTTAGGAATCACGACCCTCCACAATGGTATGATATTGTCCACTTTAAGCATAAGCTCTCGTGGCTTTGCCCTTAGTTTTCCCAAAAGACCTTATACCAATGGAGATGTATTCTTTACTTATAAATCCATGAATGATTATTCCCTTAATTAGCGAATGTGGGTGAGTTTATACTCTTTTTCCATTCATTTTTACAGATATGTGTGCCCGAAAGTACAAGTAAAAGGGGGGGACTTATTAGGCAGGAAACGCAGTCGCATTCTGATTACTTTCCTTCGAATTCAAGGTGAGTAAAAATTCGCCTTGTTCTGAGTTACTTTGCAAGGCATCTCAATCCATGAATGGTTTTGTATTTGCAGTGACATATACCCACAGATCCTCATCAAAGGACCATATGGAGCCCCAGCACAGAGCTATGAAGACTATGACGTTCTGTTGCTCATAGGCCTTGGTATTGGGGCTACTCCGATGATCAGTATTTTGAAAGATTTATTAAACCACATCAAAACAAATGATCCCCACTCTGTAAGTGAAGCGAACCAAACTGTTAATACATATTATTAGAACTGTTACTATGGGAACTAACTAGTCAAAGCAAATGCAGGCCGGGGCTCAAAAGCTCCCACAGAAAGCATATTTCTATTGGGTGACAAAGGAACAGGCATCGTTTGATTGGTTCAAAGGTGTCTTGGATGATGTTGCAGAGTATAATCAAGACGTACGTCGGTGTTTGGAGTTTAAACAAGAAGATCTACACCCAATCTACCAGCATTTAATCATCTTATCTCATTTGAATCATTGCAGAACATAATAGAAATGCATATCCACTTAAGCTGTGTTTACAAGGAAGGGGATGTGCGGTCCGTGTTCATAACCATGCTGCAAAAGATTCAGCAATCTAGAGGAGAACAAGTGGACGTTCTCTCTGGAAGCCGGGTAATCACGAACACAATTTACCAAAAACAAAAATTTACAAACGAAACTCATATGGGGTTGTATGTTTTTTAATACAGACAAGGACCAACTTTGGGAGACCCGATTGGGAGAAAGTTTTCGCAAGGTTGGCATCTGTACACAAAGGTTCTGAAATAGGTGAGAAATCAACATTTTGAGCATATGTTTTGCTTTTGGTTTCATTCCCTAAAAGGCCCCATACCAATAGAGATAGTATTTCTTACTTACTCCTCTCCCAACAATCCTCCCCTCAAACAAAGTACATCCAACCGCCTCCTTTGGAGCCCTCGAACAACCTCCCCTTAAGCGAGATTCGGGGAGGCTCGACTCCTTTTCTGGAGCCCTTGAACAAAATACACTCTTTATTCAATACTTGAGTCACTTTTGACTACACTTTCGAAGCTCACAACTTCTTTGTTCAACATTTGAGGATTCTAAGGCTAAAGTAAAAGTATGACTATGATACCAAACGTTAGAAATCACGACTGTCATCAATAGTATGATGTTATCCACTTTAAGCATAAGTTCGGATAGCTTTGCTTTTGATTTTTTCAAAAAACCTCATACAAGAGAGATAGTATTCCTTATTTATAACCCCATAATCAACCCCTTAATTACAAAAGCATGGAGAAACGAAATCCCACTGAGTAAAACCACGTGAATTGTTGGCGGTTGCAGGTGTATTTTACTGTGGAGAATACTCTCCGGTGAAGGAATTACGAGGTCACTGCCAAAATTTCAGCGATGGTTCAACGTCAACAAGGTTCCGTTTCCACAAGGAGAACTTTTAGAAGCCTCCCCACCAAATGCTTTAAAGTTATTGTCATCTTTTGATGGTGTGTGCCATTGCCAACCAGATGGAAAGTGGATCGCTCCACTAAGTATAAGCTGCTTGGGTTCCCGTATGAACAATAAAAGGGAAGAGGTATGCTTTAGATTCCACTATCCACCTTAGTAGTTCGTACAATATCCCATCAACTTTGGCTGCTTTCTCTGTTTTGTGCAATAATTGTTCTGTTTTATTGTTTATTTACCTATTCCACTTTAATGAATTAAATCTTTGTGGTGTGTTTATGAATTGGATGAGGGTTAAGATATTTGTTAGATTATATCCAATTATTTGAGTGTAAATTATTTTAATACTTAATTATTAAGTGGAATTGGTTTGAATTGTTTGAGAATAAATAATTAAAAAAATAATTTTAGAATTAAATAAAATTATAATAAACATGTGTAAATATAATTTTTCATATACAATAAAGTATTTTAAAAAAATGACTGAAATCTAATTAGTTATAAACTTTTCTATTTTGGGTAAATTTTAATAAATACTAAATATGATAAAAATTGAAAATCAAATTTATTATATTTACATTAAATTCGAAATTCAAAAATTTATTTAAAATTTTTGGAATAAATTTGTAATTAAATCTTGCAGGTAACTACGTACCATTTCTAGATCCACAACTGTCTTAATTAGTTAAACAATATTAAAATATACTTAAAGTTTGACTAGAAACACGAGGAGTCTTTATTATAAAGAAATGAATTTATTTTAATTGATGGTTCATTGATGTTCGTTCCTTATCATATATATCGTATTTAGTTATTTTTCTCTTTTTTTTTTCTTCTTTTTATCATTGAGTATTAAAATAATTGAAAATAAATAATATTTTTCATTTAATTGATAATTCTAATCACATTTAAATAAATATGAATTATTTTTTTAAATAATTTTTACCATTGTGAAACCCAATATTAAAATGATTTATAATTAATAGCTTGGCTTCAAATATTTATTCTAAAAAAATTGAAATTACTTTTAAATGATTAATGCATTTGCTTTTGAATCTATCTTTAATAAAAAAAAAAGGCAAAAAATGAGCCTCCACTATAACTTATATCAACCAAAAGCATATAGAAAAAAACAACCAATGTTATGTTTTTTTGAATTTCATCACATCATTAAAGCCATCTTTGCATTTTCTTTCAACCTTTCTTAAAAGTGTTCCTTTTCCTTTTCCTTTTACATTTACATTTTCCTCCCCCGCCCCCCTCGAGTTCGAGTTCGACAAATGAGGTGACATTTAACACTCAATCATATAATTTAGTGACGTCTTTACATTTAACCATATAATATAGGGTGAAATTTAAAAAGGGGACTTGTCCCGAACAAAGGAAGAATCCCTGTTTAAACGAATAAAGTGTAAAAGAGACTGGGAAGAGATTTCTCACCGTTAGCTAAACGGGGTCGGGATCAATGAGGAGATTATATTCCCTATTCACGACTGTACCCCAATCCTGCCCAAATCCCTGATTCGCCTTGTCTGAACATTTTTTTTTTTTTTTTTTTTTGGAAAATCTCTGTCATGATCTTGCAAAAACAAATAGAAAATTTTGTAAATAAAATGTGTATGTAATTTTAAAAGTGTTTATATTTATTATTATTTTGAATTAGATCATGTATGTAATTGTATATTTTCCAATTAGGATAGGAAAAAATAGTATTTTATTATGCCATGTTATTTATTTGTTTATTTAATTTTTAGAAAACAAATTAATAATACAAGACTTTATTCGCGTTTAATAGCAAGAGCTTGAATTTCTCCAGAAAAAAAAAATGTTTATTTTTGCAAAATTAATTTAAATTGAAGCTTTATTCCTACCAACCAATTAATACGTATTGGATATTAAAAATTCCAATTCAATTTTTGCATCACCTATTTAAAAATAAAATAAATCACGCCATTAAAATTAATTAAATTCAATTAAAAAGAAAACGACGACGTATAGTCTACTAATCAAAATGAAGGGGGTCCTTTTGGTCCACGTCATCATTCCGTAATTTTGGTGTCTTTCCTCTTTTTCGCAACTATTTTTTAAATTAAATTAAAAATAAATAAATTTTATATTTAAAAAATCTAAATTAGGTAATTTGGTTAAAATTAATTTATATACAACAGCTTATATATCATTAATTATTATCAACTTAAGTAAAAAAAAAAAAAAAGACATTTAATTACATTTGGGGAATTTAATTGAATTTATGCCTTAAAAAATGTTTGCTAGCGGCAAAGACTTTTCTACTGCGTTTGATGCCAAAAGGGGTGACGTCACCACGACACGTGTCCAATCCATGCCAAACGTGGCGAGGCAACACACGTCGGAAATAGAAATTATTTGAGCTAAGATGTGGGCTCTCCAACAGCCGAACATGGACGAATCCCGGCCGCCAGTCGTCGGCGCCGGCGACTTTCAGGTAAAGGTAACAAATCGGCGAGGTGACACATTTTGCAGTGACTTGGAAGTGATCCACCATGCAAGCTTGAAACGGCTTTCTTGGCATGTCATCCAGAACTTGTGGTTCTAAAGAATCCACCCTCCTCACGTGCTTGGAATTCAGGTGTCCGACGACAATGTCGTTCGAATTCGTGTCGCCGAATCTCAGGCTGACGTGGTTCGACGTGTCGGCGCCCTTTGTGCACGTTGTTTCCACAGTGACGGCATACATGCAAGCTTTCTGCATTTTAGTTGAGAAAAATAAATTACAAAGAATACGAGAATAACCATAAATGAAAAGAAAGCAACAAAACAAATAGATACAAGATTTTAACTATAATTATATGATAAGACATATATCTAGAATAAATATGATATTTAAGGTAACTGGAATAAATATGGAAATTAAAAGTAACATAAATGAGTAGAAGAAAAGACCTCATGGGTTGAAGCGAGGCAGTTCCCGGCGGCGAGTAGAGAGAGGAGGAGAAGGGCGCAGAAGGGCGGGGCTGTTCCGCCGGAAAACGGCATGTTTGGAATGGGAGGAGGAGGAAGAAAGAAGAAGAAAGTATATATAAGGAAAGAGAGGCGGCGGCGGCGGCGGCGACGGCAATTCTTTTCTTGGGAACATCAAAAAGTGGGGATTAGATTCTGAAGCAGAGATAGAGTTGCTTGGATTTTGGCCATTTCCCTTTTTTTTCAAACCCTAATTTCTCTTCATTAGAGGAAAGCATCTTTTTAATTCCCACTCTTCCTCTTCTAAATATATTTAAATCTTATTCTTTTATATTCAACAATATTATAATTTTACAATTTTCTTCTTTTAAAAAAAATAGCAAATAAAATTAATTCCATTTTCCTTTGATTAACATTTTTTTTATTTATTAAAAAAAGAACTTTTGATAATCTAAAATTAGTTATGTGCTAATTATTTGTTTTTTTAAGGTATAAAAAAAATTACATTTTCAAAAATTATTTCAAACATCCTTATAGTTCTAATACAATATTTAATTTAAAATTAATTATAACAAAAATAAGGTATTTTAGAATACCTTGGGCATATAAACCATCATACATTGCTTTGTTTCCACCTTCCAATACCAAACAGATCGAACCCGTGACCTGTTGAAAAATTGAGCATACACTCAAGAACTTCACCAAGCCAACGAAGTACGAAGTGTTTTGGTGTTATTTGACTTATTTTTAAACAATATAATCTCTTTATTTTTAGTTCATTTTTTTTATTGGACAAAATTTAAAATTTAAGTTTGTAAGCATTTTTTCGAAAATTATTTTCGTTATTATATCTTAATTTAAAAATAAAATAAATTAATTTTAATTGCATAATGATTTTATTAATTATTAATATATTTGTATTTCTTGCTACATAATTAGAGAATTTTCTTGTTAAAAAAATCAATTAATAATATAATAAAAATAATCCCTCTACAAATTTATACAAAAGTAAAGATTAAGTACCCATAAAATTGATGATTAGAACAATTATTTTGATTTATTTAAATATATAAACTAAAATATATTAAGTCATGCTCATATTAAAATAAAACCCTTTAAAAATACCATTATCATTGAGTTGGGTCATATAATCACAATCTATATTTATTATATTGAAAATTTTGTTTAATTTCCAAAAAGGTATTTTAGAATACCTCAACCATAAATCTGGCAATAATATTAGGGTTTTGGTGTTTTATCTGTACCTCTAGGGATCGAACCCGGGACTAATTAGGAACTGCAATAGATGATTCTACAACAGTATACCCTCACAAAGCCAACAAGCCACGACCACGAAAGGTACTCTATTTAAATTTTAAAATATTTAATTATTATAAACTTATTTTTTAATAATAAAAATGTTGATGTCATATTTGTAAAGAAAATGAAAATTATTTTGATTTTTAATAAATATCCAAAAAAGGTATTTTGGAATACCTATAAATAATAATCCTATATTTATTTATTTATTTCCTTCTCAGTACCACACGACGGATCGAACCTGTGACATGGCGATCAAACAAGACTTCTCTCAATTCCATTACCAAGCCAACAAGCCACGACGAGCCTTGGTAACTTTAAATATTTTCTAATTTATAAATAATAATTTTTCATATATGTTTATAAACACTATTTGGAAAAGTTATTTTCAAATAATTTGTCAACTTTTTTTTAAAAAAATGCCAATTAGTTTTAATTGCACAGCAATTGTGTTTTTTAATTAATTCAATTATTAAATATATTGTATATTTATTATTGAGTTATGTTGTATATTTATTATTTATTAAAATATTTTCTTGAAATTTGACAATCTCCAAAAAAAAAAAAAAAAAAAAAAAAAAAAAAAAAAAAAAAAAAAAAAAAAAAAAAAAAAAAAAGGTATTTTGGAATACCTGACATAAACCAGCAATATTTGTTTTTTTGGGTTTCCAATGGTTCTTTACACCTTCATGAATCGAACCCGAGACCTTGCCGGGGGAGAAGCTCCAAGTTCGCCCCCACAAAGCCAACAAGCCACAACCATAGAAAGTTGTAAGTGTTGGACAGCTTTATTTAAATTTGTTCAATAAATGTTTCTTTGATCGATCAAGGCGCGGGATTCGAACGTTACGGTCGAAATCAGTCCCATATTGTCCAAGACCTATCGTCTATGTCTACATATCGAATGTCTCAGTCATGTTTGTTCATGGTCACATGTCCATTGCAAACCCTTTTTTCGTGCTTTCATCTTAGATAAGTCTAGACTTTTACTAGTTCATGTTATGTCAATATGGGAGTGTATGACTGACTGTTCACCAAAATCGTGTCTACACCCGTCAAAGTTAAAATGCCATAAAATGTACTATAGATAGATGCGATTAGCAGTCAATTTTTTTGTACCTTGAGTTAAATGCTTTTTAAGCCAGGATGGTTCTTTATTTGGTTATAGCCATATAACATTACTTTTTTCAATTTTTTTAAAATTGTTTTCAAGTATATTTCCTCGCTCACGTTTACTAAAACATTTATTGCAAACATGACCCAAGACCTGATCATATGTCGACGTTGTCTATGAAATCCAAATTTCTCACAGCGACTTGTTCCTAGGTTAGAATAAGTGTCGCACAATTGTTGTCTTTCTACCACAAGATTGCAATTGTGGCTCAGCACCGTTTAAGGATAACATCCTCCCATCTTAGTACTTAGCCTTGTGGAGGAAGTATGAACATCCAATACACTAAGTGAACTTCCAATTCTATTCCAATGACAATAGGATCAAGAGTTTCTCAGTTTTTGAATCATTTTGAGACCCAAAGCTCTAATGTGACAATTCACGTTGGTTGAAAAGGGGAATAAAGTAGGGTGTGGAAACCTCTCCGTAATGTTTTAAAACCTTGAGGTAAAGTTCGAAAAGAAAAGTCCAAAGAAGATAAGGATCACAGTGTTCCAAATATTCCAATTCGACATATTACGTGATCTAAGGGCGAAGAAATTCTACAAGCATTCATTCTTCATTTATAAAATTTATAAAATTGGAAGCACTAATTGAAAAATTATTTTCAGCAAAATTGTTATTAAATCTTTAATTCTATTTTAAAGAAAATTCGAATTAGTTTTGATCGCACTGCAATTGTGTTTCTATTAATTTTAAATATATTTTTATAGGATTATTTTGTCAAAAAACAAATATAAAAAATCTAATTTTCTCTAAACGTGCAATTATGCATTAAGATTTTTTATTACAAAAACATCTTTAATTCTCTAAAATTATTTGGGCTATACACAATTTAAGTTATTAAAATTTATAAATAAAAAAAACATTTTCAAAATTATTTCAATCAATTAAAATGAACCTTATAATTAAATCACCATAGACATAAATTTATAATTCAATTATTAAATATATTGTTTTATATAAAAAATTACTTTTTATTTTAAATATTATTATATAAATAAAAGGTATTTTAGAATACCTTGGCAAATACATCTTGAATTGTTTTTCTTCCTTTTCTCTTTACCAAACGGATCGAACCTGAGACGTTGATGATAAATAAGGCCCAGCTTATTTCCTTCACCAAGCCAACAAGCTACGATCAGTTTTGGTGATCTTTCAATTACTTTTAAGTAATTAAACTTATATATATAGATTTTTTATAATTTATATTAGATTAAATTAAAATTTTTTCAAGCAAAATTGTTATTATATCTTAACCGTCTTCTCATTAATTTTAATTACACGCGGTTCTATTAATTGCTTATTATTAATTATATATTTTTATTTCTTACAACACAATTTGAGGGGTTTTCTTCACAATAAAAATAAATATTAGTATTTATTATTATTATTATTTTTTTTTTTTTACAGGTGATTATAAAAAAATTAATAATCGAGATATTTGTTTGAAATCTGACCAATCTCCTAAAAGGTATTTTAGAATACCTCAACATAAATCAGTCATTATAATTAGTGGAATTTGTTGGTTCTTGGCACCTTTATAGATCGAACCTGTGACTTGCAGGAGTAACACTAAGTTCGCCCCCACAAAGCCAACAAGCCACGACCATGGAAGGTTTAATTTAGTGGACAACTTATTAAATCTCTAAAATATTCAATTAATCTCGAATAATTTTAAATGATTAAAAGTGTTTTCTTTTTACAGAAATATCTTTATCAAATATACATTATTAAAAATAAACAATTTCAATGAAAACATTCATAAGAGGATTGTAATTTCTTTTTATAAAAAAGATAAATATTGAAGTGTTGAATAACCCAATCAATGTTAAATGTTTTAACATATTTGTAATCAATACACTATATTAGAAAGTGTTGGCGATTCATAGAAGCTGCAATTAGAGCCGAAAAAGACGTCTTCTTCGAATAATCCCGATTTGTTCTTCGCCCTCCCAAACCACAACCGATGCCTAATTATGAGAAGCCATTCGAGAAAGTTTGGAATTTATGAGCGATTCTTCTGTTTCTTCGATTAAGGCCCAGGATTCGAACGTTAAGTTCGTAATCAGTCTCGAGGATGAGTAGGCAAAGAACTTGCATACTTCAACCCCAAATCCCCTAAATCTTGGGAAGGTAGGAGTATGATCCTGTATGGATTATGAACACTTCAAACCAGATATTCCGAGAGAAGTAGGATCCTATATGGATTTGACGAATTGAATATGAACACTTGAAAGCAGACCCAATATGTTTACCGAGGGAATAGGTCACAGCTTCTACTCCATCCCAACCGTCAAAATGTTATTTCATTAGCACCCATGGGAGGAAGTATGCACATTCAATAGACTACATGAACTTTATATGACCTTCCAGTTCTATTCCTATGACCAAATGACCCTGGTTTATCAGTTTTTGAATCATTTTGAGACCCAAAGTTTCCTAACATACGCATTTTAAAATCTTGAAGGAAAGCCTAAAATGAAAAGCCCAACAAATGAGACAATATCTACCAGCGATAGTGCTTGGGCTGTTACATCTAATTATCGAAGCGGTGAAAGTTCTAGCAAGCTTTGCTACAGATGGGCACCAGTAGATAAAGGTTTCTTTTCAAGGCATGCAATACCCTTCTCAAAGGAGGGGCAAACACTCCATGGTATACTTGTTGGTCGGCGACCGATGACTCAAAGAACAACAGTTTTCATAATGAGATACAAGCACAAAACCATTTGGGCTATGCAGGCTGATCCATCTCTTGATCGAATAGGAATACATTAGCTTTTATCATTAACTCAAAACAATGTTCATAACAGCTGGGAGTTACCTGATGCAATACTATAAATATGCATCAAATCATGTACCTTCTACATTTCCTTTGCATATAGCAGCTGCCTTCCACGCAGTTGTTGTTTGCTTCTTGCAATAAACATCGGAGATCAATGGGCTCCTCATTGAAACAAAAACATTAGTACCCACAACAGACATGGAAAAACAATCAAGAACATGGAAAGCTTTCATTAATCAAATAGCTGAGAAAATCAATGACAAACTAAACCGAAGGCCAGAAGGGTGAACTCAAATTTTCGTAAGCTTCAAATTGATAGATAAAATTGGTATAAGTAATCAAAATAGAACGATGATATGAAGCATCAAAACTATTACCATTGATAGCAATTAGTAAACAGACTTTCCAATAAGCTGTGAGCACATGGAATCTTCCAATACAGAGACTTCCTCAACTCCTAACAAATAATGAGTTACATGTTCATCCTTGCTTGTCTCATGACTTTCTTTTCCTTCTCTTTGTACCCTGCTGCTCCTCTGAACCATCATCTACCCCTTCTTCCAAGTCTCCATTTTTCCTCTTTTTATTTTCTTTCTCTATAGCCTCTCCACTGTTATTTTGAAGAACGTCCGCATCTTCTTCCCTGTTCTTCTTCTTCTTTTTCTTCTTCTTCTTCTTATCCTTAGTCGACAGCTCCACAAGACCTGTTTCATCATCAATGTCCTTCTTTGTCCTCTTTTCATCCTTCTCATCACCCAAAGTATTCTTGTCCTTATGCCTCTTTTTTCTATCTTTTTCCCTTGCTACATTGTTCTCAACGAAATCTTCAGTCTCGCCATTATTAGCACTAGTTTGCGATTTCCCGTAACTTTGCCCGACTTCAGCATCACGTTCATCTTCTCCATCCTTGCTCTTTTTCTTGTGCTTTTTTTTCTTCTCAATTGCTACAACGCTCTCATCTCTATCGCTTGATTTCAAATCGACCTCGACTCTTCGGCTAGGTTTACCTTCAATTTCAGACTTCAATTCGTCGCTCTTTCTCTTTCCATCTTCACCCACTACATTCTCAAAATCAACATTCCCACCGCTTGCCATTGCTGTTTTCCCATCCTGCTCGTCCTCATTCAGATCCCTACTCTCCCGCCGCTTCTTCCCGCTTTTACTCTCAGATACAGAAGATTTGATCCTCTCACCGTTTTCAATCCGATGTGAACTATCTACAGCAGCCTCTAAACCACTTGAAACCTCGAATCCGTGATATCGGGGATTCCGATCGGACCGCGAAGACTTGAGGTCCTTATGAAGCTGCTTTAACTCGTTGAAGGAGGCGGAGGCGCGTCTCAGGTAGGCACAGAGCGCTTTCGAAGCGCCGTTATCGACGGAGAGAAAGGAGGAGAGAGTGGACGCCGCTTTGGAAAGGGAGATTGGCTTCGAAGAAACCACATTTCCGGTGATTGTCTTCATCGCCCTCTCTCACCAACGATTTTAGGGTTTAAGGAAGAATTTATCAGTCCCCCAGTCAAGTTGGGAGACCAAAAAATACACCGCCGAATTTTAGGGTTTTAAAGTGAAATAAATAAATAAATAAATACTTATATAAAATCGGTAAAATATTGGAAAATTTAAATTTATATATCAATTAATTTATAAAAAAAATAAATTTGGAAGAATTCTAGAAAATTGAAAAATCTTTTAAAAATTATTTTAAGTTATATTTAAATATCATAAAAGATTTTAATATAAATTTAACTGTTTTGAATGTTGTCTGTATTTTTATTTAAGATATAAATATACATTAATTATTTTAATATTTATTATATCAAATATAATAATTATATTTTTCTCATTTAATAAATATATCAAATATTTATTTTAACATTTTAATTTAAATATATTTCTCAACTAGTTTGGTATAGTTTTAAATAAATTTAGATTTAAATTCTAAAAAAAATACTCTTAATTTTATCTTTTATTTAAAAAATACGGACATTTTTTCAAAAATTACAATATTATCTTTAAGTTTCATTAAATTCCCTCGTGTTTTATACGTGACAAAAAGAAATTACACCTATTTTCTCAAAAACACTTCATTTCTTAGATAAATTCTCAAAATAAAAACAAAATTTATAAAATATTTTTTTAATTTTCTTGACTATATATATTTTTAAAAGACGATATATATATATATATATATTACAAAGAAAGCAGAGCTAAGAGATTATTTAGCCAATCACCACCACCTTACAATATTCTTATTACATTGGGTAGAGATTAAATAAACACTAAAGAAGCTTTCAATATTTAAAGCTATGAAGCCTAAAAGAATTTGACATTCTAAAGCAATCAAACAAAGAAAGGAAACTTATCAGAAAACACTGAGTTCAACATCTTTTCCATCAAAATCTGATGCCTTATTACCTTCTTTTTCGGCATCGGTGGTCGGGAAGAGAGGAGCTTCGAGCTCGGGAGGTTTCTGAAATATAACCGGACATGTTAGGAAATGGAAACTTCTCATGAGCATGAGCAGAAAATAAAGCTCTCTTGAGATTAAGTTTGTAGTAGTTTACCATGCAACGAACGAGCGCCCAATTGATGCCTCGGAAGAACGGATGTCGTTTGATTTCATTAGCTCCTTCTCGAGAACCCAATCGAGTTTTGGGATCTCTTTGCAATAACCTGAAGATTAATTGCTTTGCATTGAGACTAGCCTGAAACACAACATTCAAAATTTTCACATTATAGATTTGTATATTCAATCAGGAAGATCATGCATTTATAAGTAAGGAATACTATTTGCATTGGTACAAGTCCTTTTAGAAAAATCAAAAGTAAAGCCACGAGAGCTTATACTCAAAGTGCACAATATCATACTATTATGGAGGTTCGTGGTTTCCTAATATCGAACATCAAGACTTTGAAACTTGTTATAAATCTACTAATATTTTGCTCGGATAAAAAGTCTTTACCGATATACTTCTGGGAAATTTAAGATCCTTATGAAGAACGTTGGCAAAAGTCTTTTGCCTTGTCTTCCCCCTAAAGGGTGTGTATCCATAGAGCATCTCATATAGGAGGACACCTAAATTTTTAAACCATCCAAGAACATATATAAGCAATCAAAATCAAAATATAATCCTCAAAACATTTTCAATCAGATAAGAGCATCATGAAAATTACCCAAAGCCCACCAGTCCACTGCACTAGTATGGCCAGCCCCAGTGATAATTTCCTACAAAATTAGACCTCGACGATAACAATGTCGTTGAACTTCACTGATTACACAACGTATAAAGGAACAAAGATTCTCGTGTTCAAATCATACACTCTAATATGGTGAAAACGAACAAATTTTATAGTTCAAATATTTGTTGTTTTGAGCCGTAGTTTGATCTTCTTATTTTAGATATGGAAAAGTATTTGCAAGTAGTACAAACCGGTGCTATGTACTCTTCAGTGCCGACGAATGAGTTCGATGCTCGCATAGGTTCGGCCATAAAGATCGGAGCCTGTTGAGATCTTGATTGTTTTTTCTTCTCATTCATCGTTGGAAACAAAAGCTGCAGATGACAGAATTCACATCAAGAGAAGTTCTATAGCCAAAATGACTGATGATGAAAAATGGTTCCTAAATTATATCACAAGTATTTGGGAAACCTGAGGTTTGGAAGCAGTCAAACATGACAAGTCAAAATCCGTCAACGTCACGTGTCCGTCTCCCTGGAGTAGAACGTTCTCAGGCTTCAGATCTCTGTAAATTATCCCTTGACAATGAAGATACTCTAATGCAATGAGAACTTCAGCAGCATAAAACCTACATCCATCCACATTCACCGCACGTTACTAAGGCTCCGTTTCATAACCATTTCGTTTTTATCTGTGTTCAAAATATGGCTTGAGATAATGCAAAGAAACACAGAAGGAAGGAAGTAGTATTTATAAGCGACGATTTCTAAAACAGAGAATAAAAAAAAAAAGGTTATCAGATTGGGCCTAAAAGATTCTCAAGTTTACATTAGAATGTCAATGTGAGACCTCACTACATCAATTGGAGATTTGGAGAGAGGAACGAGTACTAGCGTCCTCGCTAGGCACTGAAAGAGGGTGAATTGTGAGATCTCACGTCAGTTGGAGAGGAAAACGAGTAACAACGAAGACGCTGGACCTCGAAGGGAGTGGATTGTGAGATCTTACGTCGGTTTGGGAGGAGAATGAAACATTTTTTATAAGAGTGTGGAAACCTCTCCCTAACAGACGCGTTTTAAAAACCTTGAAGAGAAGTCCAAAAGAGAAAGCTCAAAAATGACAACATCAGTTAGTAGTGGGTTTGAGCTTGGATTATTACAGTCAAGCTTTGGTTTACTTTACCTTACAGCATCTTCCTTTAAAACCTTTGTAGGTTGTCTCTCCAAAAGCAGAAAGAGTTCTCCACCAGGGCAGTAATCAGTTATAAGACAAACATGTGTTTTTGTCTAAAAAACAAAGAAGAATAAGTCAACAGTCTGTGACGTTTTAACAGCTGAAAGAAGTTGTTCTGTTCTGCCCGCTGTCGACAATGTTGAAAATGTCCGTAACTTTCTAACCTGAAATGAAGCATATAACGCAGGAAGAAAAGGATGATCCAACTTGTCGAGTATTTCCCTCTCGGCGCAAGCTCTATGCACCTGTACAGCAAAACAAGGCATGGGAGTGGGCATTGCTGAGGAGAAAATCGAGTTTTTTCTAAGACAAAGTAGAAGAAATTCATAGCCAAAGTTATAAATACTTTGCTTATCAAATGAAGCATTAAAAGAGAGATTTTTCAAAACCTTGTTGCGGTTAAGCATAACACCCTTGTCCATTGCCTTCATGGCAAAACACTGATCAGTCCCACACAGTTCTACTAAATGCACACTGCAGCCAACAACGTAAACAAATGAAATAGTGACTTGTGGTCGCTTCTTGTAAATATTGTAACCACTCAAGCCCACTCAAAGCCCATTGCTAGTAGATATTGTCTGTTTTAGCCTGTTACGTATCACCGTCAACCTCACAGTTTTTAAACGCGTCTACTAGGGAGAGGTTTTCACACCCTTATAAGGAATGTTTCGTTCCCCTTTTCAACTGATGTAGGATCTCACAAATATATACTAAACCAATATTATCGACGATCCTTTAAGAACAAGACTGATAAAAATGTGATAGAAAGAACACAAACCTGCCAGTATCACCTGATCCCAAAGGTTTAACCGGCTTGAAATGTTTCAGTCCTATCTGTTCTCCACTGTCTAAAATCTGTACCATAAGAGGATAACTAACATTAGTCGACGAAAATGACAATAGCGAAAATTCAAGAACAGATTATGCAACGAGCCCCGTAGAGAAATCACAAGCATATGTACATATATTGCCTAAAAATATGTGTAAATCTAGGAACGGGAAGACGTGATTCCACAAACACTACATCCGAGTTACAATTATTTGTGAGAATCTGGTGTTAGAAACCACGACAATCCACAATGGTATGATATTATCCACTTGAAGCATAAGCTCTCATTGCTATGCTTTTGGTTTCCCAAAAGGCATCATATGAATGGAAATAGTATTCTTTACTTATAAACCCATAATCAACTCTTTAATTAGCCGATGTGGGACTCCTCTCCCAACAATTTTCAACAATCCTCCCCTCGAATTAAGTACACCATCGAACCTCCCCTGAGGCCTATAGAGCCCTCAAACAGTCTCCCCTTAATCGAGGCTCGACTCCTTCTATGGAGCCTTCAAACAGCCTCCCCTTAATTGAGACTCGACTTCTTCTATGGAGCTCTCAAACAAAGTACACCATTTGTTCGACACTTGAGTCACTTTTGACTACACCTTCTAGACTAACAACTTCTTTGTTCGACATTTGAGGATTCTATTGACATGGTTAAGTTAAGAGCATGACTCTGATACCATGTTAGAAATCACGATGCTCCACAATAGTATGATATTGTCCATTTTGAGTATAAGCACTCATGGCTTTGCTTTTGGTTTCCCCAAAAGGCCTTATACCAGTGGAGATAGTATTCCTTATAAGCCCATGATCAACTCCTTAATTAGGCCGATGTGGGACTCCTCTACTAACAATCCTCAACATCTTATTGCAAGAAGGCTCGAACTATTTACGATCCAATGGTAAAAATTCAAATTCAGGCAAAGAGGTGAAAATAAACTAAACATTACCTTCTGGAAAGCTTTCCAAGAAGCACTATCCTTTCTGTGAGGTTTTGGTTGGACCACATTAGAATGATTTGCCCATAAATCTTCTGGTGTCTGTAGGTTGCAGAGATTTCTTGTCAGAAACTGCAACTTCAAATTGTTTAAAGAGATGTATACATGGATTTCACGTACCAAATTGGCATCGGGAAGTTCTCTAGCCGCCGTATCAACATTTTCAGCAGTTTCTTTTACCTGGCAAGTGGACAATCAGTAAACAAGTCACAAGACAGTGAAACGCCCAACAACACTCTTAGTTAAATGAAATACATGTCGTTCTTTAGCATTTTTCTTGTGCAAAAGTAACATCTGACCAATTTTTCGCCCTCTTTTGCAGTAGTTTCCGATATGCAATTGCTTAGCGGTTCGACGTGCTGACTCCCGTCAAGTTGTACTCCAATAAAATACTGGACTTCTCCCTGTTTGCACACGAAAGTACTTTTCTTTTCAGATCAAAAGTACAGTCACGTTAGTCATTAAAAAAAAAAAAAAAAAATCTCATGGTATCCGCTCAAGCCCACCGCTAGCAAATATTGTATCTTTGAGTTTTCCCTTTCGGGCTTCCCCTTAAGGTTTTTAAAATGCGTCTGCTAGGGAGAAGTTTTCTCACCCTTATAAAGGATGCTTCGTTCTCCTCCCCAACTGATATGGGATCTCACAATCCACCCTCTTCAGGGCCCAGCCTCCTCGCTGGCACTCGTTCCATTCTCCAATCGATGTGGTACCCCCCCAATCCACGCCCTTTGGGACCTAGCGTTCTTGCTGGCACACGTCCACCCCCTTTGAGACTTAGCCTCCTCATTGGCACATTGCCCTATGTCTGGCTCTGATACCCTTTTGTAACAGCCCAAGCTCACCTCTAACAGATATTGTCCTCTTTGGGTTTTCCCTTTCGAGCTTCCTCTCAAGGTTTTTAAAACGCGTCTGCCAGGGGGAGGTTTCAACACCCTTATAAAGAATGTGTCGTTCTCCTCCCCAACCGATGTGGAATCTCACACTCATCTATATAGTGAGATATCAGAAGTTAAACGAGTTAATGTCTTCAGAAACGAGTACCTTCTGGTCACGCATAGGTTGTAGATGAAACAGATTCCAAAACTTCTTACCTGAATTGAGATTAAATATGAAAAAGAAGTTCTAAATAACTTAAACAAACATCACAGGAATTCAAGCATACCAGTTTTGGTGTAGTTAATAAGCTGCACTGTAACTTCAGTTTGGTTGTCAATTGCATCTCTTATTTTCTTGACAGTTGCTCGATCGGTTTCAGGACCTTGCAGGAACCTACAACATCCAGAATAGCAACAGAAAGTGTAAGCTAAAATTTGGAAGCAAGGTTTTGGGAAGAGGAAGAAGCTTGAACATGCCTGCAATTTCTTCCCAAGATTTCTTCTCTACAGTACTCAGTCAGCTCCAGGAAGCTATCAGAAGCAAATATCTGAAATGAATAATGAACATTAAACTCCTACTTTCATTACATATGTGTTACTTAAGCCTAACCCACCTATAGCAGATAGTGTTATCGGCTAGCGGTGGGGTTGGGCTCGGGCTGTTACAGTAAGAATAGAAGTAAGAATCTTACAATGGGATTGTCGGGCAGCCTCGGATCAGTGATGACGAAGTTCTTCTCTATACGTTCGAGGGTGGTCGCTAAATCAATACCCTTCCTCATTTCCTTTTGTCTTACTTTGTCGTCTACGCTATCTGGTCTCTCATCATCATCGCTCTCATTATCATCGTCCGAACAATTTTCAATGTTGAAGCTTTCAGTATTTGATTCACTTTTCCTCACAATGCTTAATAATAAGAAGACATTATATGAGAAATTTTGAATTTAGTCCAAAAAAAAAGAGCTGAAAATTATGTAAAATTTAAATAACATATTAAATCACCCCTATCATTATTTATTTGTGATTCTTATTTTAATTATTTGTGATTCCATCAGGTATTTGTAATAGCTCAAATTCATTGTTTCATTGTGAACAGATATGTCCACTTTCGTCTGTTAACAAAACAAAAAAAAAAAAAAAATATATATATATATATATATATATATATTATAATTTACCTAAAAAAATAAAGAAAAAGAAATCGTACCCCATAAATGAACGACGGCTATACTTCTTGGGTTTCGTCTCCGGCAGCTCATTGATACGCTGCATCGACCTTCTACGTCGTCCAGTTGAAGCTGCTGTACTCTCTGACTTTCGCCTAACCATAGCAGCTTCATGTCTATATGCCTCATCTCCGCCGCCGGATTTTCTTACTGACCGGCGGTTCATAGATTCACTTAGAGCCCGTGGCCTAGATTCACTTACAGACACAGACCCAGGCATTTTCACCGCATGCACAAGCTCCGTTACCGAACTGGTAGCCATATCTTTTTGACGGGCTGCAATGAAATTACCCAAATTGTATCTCAAAATTACCCAAACTTTACAGCAACCAATCCGACCCAAATTCATATGTTACACATTAATTTATTTTAACAGCCAAATATATTTCTGACAAATGGATATTACATATTCATGGAAAATATCAACAAGAAGTTGGAAGCTTCCATGGTGGGTTAAATTTCACTCTTAATTGGGATAGAAACAAAAGTTTTAAAAGTTTCAGATTCAAACAGTAAAAATTCACCTTCTTCTAATAAAAAGTTCATTTATTTATCTCTTCCAGACATATTTGCACAATGGGCTACCAATAACATCAAATTAAATTAGATGGCTCCAGGCTTTTGAATCGTGGGGTCCCAAAACAAACCATGAATGCGACAAAGAACGAAAGAGAAGCAATAATACCATCATAACGAATCAACGATTCTGGCAAGCCATTAGGACGAACCATCTTATCTTTGAATCCCTCTGTGTGTTTGCTCACCTCTACTTGCATTCTGTCACATCCAAACTTAAAAATTATTAGATTAAGAACTTATTAGATACGAAAGCGAGCGTACGCTCGACCAAGAGGTTCGAGCTAAAAACGACCATAAAATCACTTAACCAACATTCTTCTTCCATCATAAATCACAGTCCATCAAAGATCAGAGGGTGAAGATTTCATCAGAGAAACAAAGACCCACATTCTATCACAATCAGCCATTGAATCAGTAGGGAAAGTGACAAAGACAAGCACTCCAGTGGGCAAGACAATTAAAAGAAAAGTTGGTTGAAAATTTATGGTTGGCATCATGTGATATGTTTTTGTAAGTTGTAGCACAGATCATATTCTTTCATTAAAACTGCTTGAATTTGGCATACCCATATGCTATAATCTTCCCTTCCTCAGACATAGATCTTACCCACACTGCCCCCTCCTTAATTCATGGCTTTGGAATTATTTTCCCATAATTGAGTTCATTTCTCCCTCTCCGTAAACACACTCCCGTGACTTCATATCTGCATCACGTCCTACCAATGATAGCTATGTGACATCAAAAGCATCTCAATTTTCATCTTCCTGTTTTCATTACTATCACAACTTACATGCGTATGACACGACTTGTATCACTTCGAAAGTTCTTTTACGATATCCAAGTCAGCTTGTATGCACCTCGACTATTCTCACGAAACTTTAAAAGACATCTAAACTTGCTGTTCGTCTTAATTAACAAAACACTACATATCACAATCTACATGGGTAAGATAGGACCTATATGACTTCGAAAGCTTTCTTATACTATATCCGTCAGTATTCAAGTCAGCTTGTATGCACCTCGACTATTCTCACGAGACTTTAAAGACGTCTAAATTTGTTGTTTGTCTTGATTAACAAAATACTACATGTCACAACCTACATGGGTACGACACGACCTATATAACTTCAAAAGCTTTCTTTTACTATATCCGTCAGTATAGCTAGCTTGTATGCACCTCAACTATTCAAACGAAACTTTAAAGAGATCTAAATTTGTCGTTCGTCATAATTAACGAAATACTACATATTACAACCTACATGGTACGACACGACCTATATGACTTCGAAAGCTTTCTTTTACTATATCCGTTGGTATAGCTAGCTTGTATGCACCTCAACTATTCAAACGAAACTTTACAGAGATCTAAATTTGTCGTTCGTCTTAATTAACGAAATACTACATATTACAACCTACATGGTACGACACGACCTATATGACTTCGGAAGCTTTCTTTTACGACATCCGTCACTATTCAAGCACACTTGTATGCACCTCGACTATTCTCATGAGACTTTAAAGACATCTAAATTTTCTTTTCGTCTTAATTAACAAAACAATACAGTAATTGGAGTTTATGGCTTCAAAGGCATCTAAATTTACTAGCAGTTGGACCAGTATTATCAGCACAGAACAAACTCATTCGTGACATCAAGGAAAAGCTCTAAATCAAAGATTAGACAGGAAGGAAATGCAGTGAATTGAAAGGAAAAGACGAAGAAAAAAACTGCAGAATTTCAAGGGGACCAATTGAAAGCACTAAAGAAACAGAGAAATAAAGAACTGACCCAATAAATTTGAGAACCTTGCCGTCATCATCTTTGATAGGTGAAATAGTAAGCAAATTCCAAAACGGGGTCCCATCTTTCTTGTAATTCAACAACCTCCCACAGTAACTTGTCCCAGCTTGTAAAGCCTCTCGAATCTTGGCCACATCTTCTGGGTCTGTATCTGCACCCTGCAAAAATCGACTGCAAAAGCCACTCCAATTTAATCCCCACGGTTAAGAACGAACTGGGATTTGTTTTTAAGAGTTTCTATCACCGACAGATTCTTCATTAAGAAACATAATATGAACTATCTAAGAAAACATGCTGTTCTTATGAAATCTCATTCTCCAAGTTCAAGTTCTAGTCATAATATGAACTATGTTTCCGTTCGCTACTTGAAATTGAAGATAGTTCAGAACTCGAAACTGTTAATAAACGATGAATTCAAATATAAACGTATAGAAATTCAATTGCTGCTTCTGCGATTTGAAATTGAAGCTTATTAAGAATTCCGTAAAAGGATGAATTCAACCATATAAATCGTTTCTGAAATAATGTCGTGTAGAATTTTTGTAATATTTAAAGTTGAAATTAGAATTGAAACAGAAAAATTTGGGGGAAATGGCTTGAAGAAACTCACCAATTTCTTCCGATAACTTCCTTGGATGTATAGCCAGTCATCTTGAAGAATCCAGCACTGGCGTACATAATCGGATAATCAGGTTTCGTAGCATCAGAAACCACAAATGTTTGCTGAAATGTCGACAGAGCGTCTTTCAAATCCTCAGAGACTCTCGGAAACCCTCTTTCTCTTCCAACATCGTCCGACATGTCGCCCGAACTCCGCCCCGAGTTATTCGAAGTTCTTCTCGAATTCTCCAGTTTGTTAATCGGTTCATCGCCGCCGGAAGTTCGAACTCCAACGCCCTGCGGTTTTCCAGTTTCCGTATCGGTTTTCAGTACCAATCCCCACTCGGCAGCACGTAAGGCGGCAGAGTCCACTTCTTCCGCTGATTTCGGCGGCGATTTGTCGCTGAGAATCGCCGAAATAGTCTTCTGAGCTTGTGGCGAGTTGGATTGTGGTGAAGCATTCGAATCCTTGAAGGCCATCCATGACGTGATATCCTCGCCGGTCTTACTCGTCGGAACGGCGGTGAGTCTAGTCGAGTCCGACTCCGCACTGCTACGTGGCTCCACCCAATTGGACCACGTCGAGTTCGGCCGTGAAATGGAATTGATGGATCGTGACGTATAAGTGGCGGAGGGATTAAAAACCTCGAGCGATCCTCTTGAGTCCCGTGGAAATGGCGCGAGAGGCGACGACTTCGGCACCGGTTTTTCCAACGGCTCCATTAGTTTTCTGCATGAACATCTCAATATCAAAATATACAATTATATATATAATCATAAATTTCCTTATTTTCAAGCACTTCTAAACTTTATCCACTTCACTAAAAACACTAATTAATTAAACTAAGTCAGCCAAAAAAAAAAAAAAAAACCCTTTTTAAATAAAATTTTTAAAATATAATTTTTAATGTAAAGATTATTACAAAAGACCCATTTAAAAAAAAAAAATCAAAATTTTCTAGTTCGAGTGAATGTGATTGTGATTGTAAACAACTCATGAATTGAGACGACGACGTCTTACTAATATGATGGCTTTGGAGGGTAGTGATGTCATTTCACTTGGCACAAACTCTCTTCGTACTGTTAGATGAACATGACTCTCCACAATGTGATTGTGACGACGTCTTACTGATCTGATGGCTTTGGAGGGTAGTGATGTCATTTCACTTGGCGCAAACTCTCTTCGTACTGTTAGATGAACATGACTCTCCACAATGGTATGACATTGTCCATTTTGAATATAAAGCTTTCATGGCTTTGCTTTAGTCTTCCCCAAAAGACTCACACTAATGAAGATAGTATTTATTGATTATAAACTCATGATCATTCCCTAAATTAGCGGATGTGAGACTTTCATCCAACGCCTCTCTTTGAACAAAGTATGTCTCCTCTTAATCGAGGCTCAACTCCTTTTCCTTTCGGAGTCTTAGTCATTTTTTACTATGCCTTCGAGATAGGAGGTCTTGCCCTTAATCGAAGCTCGACTCCTTTTTTCTTTTGGAATCTTAGTCATTTTTTACTATGCCTTCGAGGTGGGAGGCTCGACTCCTTTTTCTTTTGGAGTTATTTGTTCGACATTTGAGGATTCTATTGACATAACTAGGTTTATGAGCCTGACTTGATACCATGTTAGATGAACACGACTCTCCACAATAGTATAATATTGTCCACTTTAAACATAAATTCTCATGGCTTTGGAGGTGGTATTGTAAAAATAAATTAGATTTAATTGATGGGTAATAGTAAGTCTAAAACATAATAATTAATATATATATATATACACACACGTATAATAAATCGAGAAATGAAAAACGTTTTTTTTAGTTCCAGCAGCTAGCTCGATGTCTCTGAGGTTCAGAATTTTTGCTCTCGTGGTTGTCGGGCAAATAAAATTTAAACCAAAGTTTGTAATTTTTCTCATTTATTTATTTATTTATTTTTATTTTTGGTTAATGAAAAATTGTTGGGTCTGCCGACTAATTCATTGAGCGCCCATTTGCCCTATCTATCACCTTGTCCTCCTGCCGCCCCAGTCGGATTCTCTTTTTGGAGACTCCCCCACCACCTCTTTGCATCATTTTAGGAAATAATATATATATATTTTTTTTCTTTTTCTCTTTTCGGAGGTGATGTTTGTCTAAGGTGTATTGTCTATGGTCATATGTTCGACATCTTCATCATATTTGTCTAGAACGTGTTGTCCATGACTACATATATGTTCTTACATGCTTTCTTCTTATATTGATTTTTACTATTTCATGTTGTGTCAATAGCAGGAGGGTATATGACTAATCATCAAAATCCTGCTTACAGTTGTGTAATGATATGACTAATCGTCACTTCTTCGGATTATATGTTATCAAAGTCGTATCGTTGTCAATCATTTTTAGGTTATAACATTGTTTTCAACATTTTTACTTAGTTCACATGTTCCAAAACATTTCTCTCAAACGTGACTAGAGGTTCAAGCATACACCGACGTTATCGGTTAGAATAAATGTTACACAGTTATTAATTGTGAAACCGGAAACTATCCAACAAATTAGAATTTGTTAGGCGAGGACAATCAGACCGGCAAATTTCGACTCTAACCTTTTTTTTTTTTTCTTTAAATGTAAAACAATAAAATTTGAGGATTGGAAGAGGACATCATTGTCCCATCTCTATTAGAAAAACAGGATTTGGTATGAGTTCCATGTGGAGCCATAAATATGTAAAGAATCAAAAGAAAATTACATATTTTATCTTCAATTCCTTGGTTGTCCTAATAATGAACCCTCACATATTATTCCCTTCGTGTTGATATTATGAATTAAACTAACTTAAATTTATTCTATACCTTTCTCTTTTTTTCGGATAAAATTACTTAATTTTGAATCGATATTAAAAAATTAGCCTAAACTTTGGTAATTATTTAAAGATAGGAAATGTCAATAATTGACCACAGAAAGTACTGCACATCAATTACTTGGCAATACAACAATTTTAGATGCAGAAATTTACAAAACATAGCCTCCCATCTAACCAATCATTATAATGCACCAAATTACAAGGAGAAAATGGAAATTTGTCAACCTCTTGCCTTCAAATACAGAATTAAAATTAAATAAAAAAATAAATTTATGACAAGGCCTTATCTTCTTAAAAATTTTGATTGTCCATTTCTATCAATTTCTACAATAAATCAAAATTAAAATTGGGGCAGTGTAATACCTAAAATGCCACTGGTGGGAGATGGAAGGAAGCCCCACATGTGGTACGACCCACAGGCACGTGAAATTACCTTTAGCTTATCCAGTGTCACGGCCTTGAATGAGATGATGGGATGGCCGTAATGGGTAGTCACATCAAACGCCCTACTGCCTCGTAAACTTATTTTTTTATTTTTTTTTAAAAAATGTGTTATGATTACTACACTACTAACCCTAAGGTTCCTCTTCATCAAGCCTAGATTCAAATATTTTTTAATTAAAAGAAATTGGTTGTGTATTTAATTTTGGCCTAATATTGGTCCCCCGGCGATGACGGGGCGTTGGTTGTTCGAGGTAACGGTTTCTGTGAAAACAGTGGAAGAAAGGGCGATGGAATCACATGCCTCATGTGTAAATCACAAAATAGACTACTACTCTCTCAAATGGATTATGGACCTGATGATCATGGGGTATGGGTACTTACTTTTTGGGCTGGGCTGGGCTGGGCTGGGATGGGCCTGGCTCTCGAGCCCAATACATTTCAATGGACCGGCCTAATTGACCGTAGTCGGTATCCGTGAGTCTCGAGCGCTGCTGGTGGTTAGATTCCGAGGATTCGAACCATGCCGGAATCCGAAGACGGCAAGATCGACATTATCGTTGTGCTTCGGCGCCTTCAGAAACTCGCTTGAAGAACTGCTCTAATTCCTTCCGTCCTTGATCTCTGAACTCACTGCGTTCGAAGAAAAAATATAAGCAGAAATGTTAGCAAATCGATAAAGGAAAAGAAGAATGGAAGAGAAGAGCGTAGAAGGAGAATTAAGTAAAAGAAACTGTCAAATCACATTTGCAATAACCAGAAACCAATCGCCAAGAGATTCGATTCGATCGATTGAAGAAATTACAGAAGAGATCAGAAACGGATTCTTGAAGTTCTTCGACAAATTTACCTGGATAAGGAGGAGCGAGGATCGGGAGTTTGAAGAAGATCGCAGTTGGAATCGTGCATTGATGTTCTTCCGGAGAGCGGATTCTTTGGGGCTCTTGCGTTGGGATGAAGAAGATTATGCTGCAATGATCGATAGTCGGTCGGACTCGGGACGAATTCAGAGATCTCTGCTAGGGTTTGGAGTTGGAGAAATTATGATGGAATTGCAAATGGGGCTGTGCCTCTGGTGATTGGCTCCATTCATTTTTTCTATGCTGCTTCTTGTATTTATAGTCTATTTTGAATTGCTACATTTAGCGCCAGCGGTGATTTTCGGCGGGAATGTTTATTCTGCGTGCCGGGCACGTGATAATCGAAATCCAAACTCACAATATTACTACAAATTATTTACCTTCCATGTTTGAGACAAATTTCTATCCAACAATTATTAAAGGGTTTACAAAATTTCAAATATTACACAGTAAAAATTTTAAATTATAACCGACTAACAGTAATAATTAAAAACTAAGTTAAAAAAAAAAAACCATTTTCAAAAATGAAATAAAAAGAAAATAGACATTTATTTTTCGAGCATGAATTTTTGTTGGTAAAAAAGAAATTAAAAGGATTCAAATGGGCTTTTCGAGAACGTATTAATAAGTTAGACCCATGGCAAGAAATTCGTCAGACGTGCAGATTCACATTAAAATTATCGTAATTTAAGTGATTAATTGATTAAAATATTAAAATGAATTAAAATTACCTTAACTAATAACTAATTTCATGGTAATAGATAAGTAAAAATAAATATTACATGAGTTTTCTCACCCTTATAGACAATTTGTTAGCAATTCTCTAATTTAATTAAAGTACATTTATGAATAAAAAAATATGTTAATAACCGATCCAAAAAAGATTTGTGTCAAAATAACCGATCCAAAAAAGAACAAAAGGCATTGGATTAATCGTTAATGTCAAATCCTCCCACATTAAGATTACTGGTTAATGGATATGTTTAATGTCAAATTAAGCACTAAATAATCCACCATTGGTAAGGGACAAACATCATGATTATACTGCAAAATAGTAACTTCGAAAATGGGCAAGTTTGGGAAAAACGAGAAGGCATAAGTAACAGCTGGTGGTATTATTTTTCATAAGGAAAAGTACCGCAAGCTTACGTTGTGCTACCGCCAAAAGGCAAGACCAATTAAGCTATCAAAAAACATCCTTAACAACATAAAGCAGCTCTCCAAATTGCCAACGAATTCAAGAAATCTAAAATCAGTAAAAGCAAAGAAGCTTCCGAGGGTCGGCGTTTGAATTTATGGGGCATTTAAGCATCCGCAAATCTGCAAGGCGTCAAAATGTCTGGTCATACAACCACTTCCAGCATCACAAAGGGGATATGTTTGATTCGAATTAGATTTTGAACTTACCCCAGCTCGGAGAGCTTCAGATGAGCTTCCGCATAATCTTTAAAAAAGGCATCTTCATCCTAAAGAAGGAAAAATACATTAAGAACTCACGACTCTTCACAATGGTATGATATTGTCTACTTTGAGCATAAAGTATTATGGCTTTACTTTCGCTTCTCAAGTAGCCTCGTACCAATGGAGATGTATTCTTAATTTATAAACTAATGATCATTCCTTAACAGACTGTTCACACTATTATGATATTGTCCACTTGAGTGTAAGCTCTCATGGTTTTGCTTTGGCTTCCCCAAGAAGCCTTGTACCGTATTCTTTATTTCTCTATAGGAATGATCATTCCCTAAATAAAAAATCACGACCCTCTATAATGGTACAATATTGTCCACTTACTTTCCCAAAAAGCAAGATGTATTCCTTACTTGATCATTTCTTATTCCCTATTCCTTAAACAAGACATGTTATCAAAGCACTGACTAATCATTACTAAACTTCAAAACGTCGATATTTTTGTCAAGTGAGAGATTGATATACCGCAGCATATTTTTCAACAAGAGGACGGAAGACGGAATCGGCCAGAAGCGCCTTATCAGATGGCAGCTGAAGAAGCCCTTGCTTCTCTCCCGATATGAGCTCCCTGATAGGACGAACAAAATTGCCTAATATTCACAATGAATTCTGTATATTATCGAGATTGATTTCAGTTGGAAAGCAAAACTCACTTGAAGTATGCGTTGTCGAAGACAAGAGGATTGGATGTCCAAGGACCTTCATACCCAGATCGATCCTTGTGAGCTCTTCCCTGAAAATAAGAACATAGTCATGACCCTGCCAATAAAAACAGTTTTTAAAGACGCAATCAAAGAGATTCAGAAATGAACAAACCAGTGTGTGACCACCAGACAGAGCAACGATGTCCTGGTCACTTAGACCCATTGTGTAGAAAACTTGCCTTAGATGATCACATCCTACGAAATAATGGTTAGATTAGGTCCTAGTTCATTGTGCGTAGGGCTACAACAAATGGTTTAACATCAAAATTATGGAAAAATTCTAGCACTCTTATTAACATCTCGGAAATATTCCGCCATAGTTGGGGCAGTTAAACAAACTCTCATACGAGTTCTCTGCGGTTCATTCATCTGACCGTAGACTAGAGCCACCTTTGATTCTGCAATATTTTCTTCATTAATTACTCCGAATTCTTTCATTTCCATGTAAAGATCATTTCCTTCACGAGTACGTTCACCTACTCACCTACTTCTCCAAATACGGATACACCTCCATGAGCTTTGGCAACGTTGTTGATCAATTCCATTATGAGTACTGTTTTACCCACTCCAGCCCCTCCGAATAGTCCTATTTTTCCTCCACGTCGATAAAGGGCTAAAAGATCTACTACTTTAATCCCTCAAGAATCCTATATAATTCTTAAATGTTGCTGTCGTGATCACAAATATGATCTCTGAAGCTTTAGAAGAAATCTCTGAAGCTACTTCGAATGTACTAACCTTTTCCGGCATCGGGAAGGCGGCCTTCAGGCGGAGGCTCAGGCTTGTCCTGATGTCGGGAAACGCCAAGGAAATAATCAGCATTCAAATGAGAAGTACTAGATAACGGTGCTACATGAATGAATTCTTGCGGACAAATAAAATACAAGCAAAGCATATAACAAACAAAGCTAGCCAAAGAGTTCAGACTGAACAAACAATAGAACTATATGGATGATTATAGAAGAAAAAAAAAACAGATCAATAGGCTTGGCAATCAGAATTTCTATGAAGAAAACAAAGCAACGTTAAATAAATCTCTCGACGATCCGTTCATCTTTCGCGAAAAGAAAATTGACGAATTAGCAAACCATCACAAAAGAGCTTCAAACACTAATTACATCACGAACGTGATTCAAATAATGATAGCATAATCAGGAGTCACTGGTAGCAGGCAGCAGGCACTAAAAACAGTCAGACAAATAGAATCAAAACAAACGGATATCGTGTATGCTAAAGCTTAACGTACCACTCTGCCAGGATGAAACGGAACCTCGGGCCCACCGGTAATTTCAACAGCAACAACCCCGGCGAGCTATATAAGAAAATACAAACATTACACCATTAATTTTCTCTCGGTTTCACATTCAACACGACGATTTCAATTTTTCACAGTAATATTTCACGAAATGTGCGAAAATAAACGATCACAATAATAATGCTATACCTGATAGAAGTCACCGTATGAAAGGATCGGCACCTGTTCCTTAATCGGCTCCAACAGCTTAACAGCGATGTCAAGGCCATTGTTAGCACCATGTGCGAGTTCCGCTGCGTGCTTCATCGTCCCGAAGGGACCTCCCGTCTTAGACTTAGCATCATACGTTCCGGCAGAGTGCCATCTGCAATCACAAAGCCACAGTAAATCATCGCCATTGACAATCAACGATTCATATTCAATCATCATCGGACAGAGAAACCAACGCGAGACGAAGCATTAGAGGAGAGCAGTGCTTCTCAGCAACGAGAGCTCTAATCTTCCTCCTCGCCTTCACTACAGCCTTCTGGTATTCCTCGCTAACAGCCGGGTAGCTCTTCCCCATCACTGAGATTTTACAAACAAAAGAATTCAATTCGCAGAAACTGATTGATAAATCGATGAAATCGAACGAAATCAAAAATGAAAATCCAATGCCAACCTTGAAAGCACAAAATCAAACAAGCGAGCACTGGTCACAGAGATGGCACGAAGCAGGCACGGGATTGATATTTGATAGGTTGAAAACAGAGCTGAATGATTTAAAGAGCAACTGTTACATAATTTATAAGGTTCTAGTAGCTTAATTTTGGCCGTTGGATTTCCTTTTCGATCCTGCGGCTCTTGTTCGGCTTTTAGGATTGAATGGCTGCGATTGAATTTAGAATGCCCTCTGTACGGTCATGCAATATGACCGCACCGGCCGGTACTCGCGAGTAAACATTAGAAACAATAATAAAAGGTCAAAATTGAAATGACCGAAATGCCCTGGCGGTTGAGAGTTGTGGGGAGAGCGGATCCGGTGTCCTCATGTATGGATCCGGTTCTTTGCCGCATACTTCTCTGGGCCCGGTGGGCTTAATGTAACATCCAACTTTGTCCAAATTTCATTTTGGGCTGATTCTTGGGCCCATATGTTCAAGTGCTTTTACGTAACTGCCCTCCTTCCAACCCTCTATCAACTCAATCATTGCTTCATCAATCGATGCTAAACTTTTTTTTTCTACTATCAACCTATTTTTAGTTATATATATATTGATTTTACTTTCAAATTGTTGAAATTAGTATTACGATAACTATTTTCAGTTGATTTGTTTGATTTGTAATGAAAAATTATCATATCTAAATTTTTCGGATGGATTCATAATAATTTACCTATCCTAATAACAAAAAAAAAAAAAAAAAAAAAAAAAAAAAAAAAAAAAAAAAAAAAAAAAAAAAACTAAATTGTAAGTTAAATTATTTGAACTTATTCAATTTGAGACACCTAATATATTAACTTATTATCTACCATTACCTTAAATAATTTTTTTTTAAATCCTGAATTATTTACAAGATCTTGTTTAGTTAGATGAGTTGAATTGTGCATGAATAATTTGTCTAATAATTTAAGTTAGTTAGGAAATAATTATTCATAAATATAAATTTATTTTTGTGTAGAAGTTAAAATTTTAAATTTATATAATTATTACAATCATATTTTATATATAAAAAGAAACAAATACAAAAAATAATATTTAATTTAAAAGGTTTATATTAATATTAAATATTATATATATATATATATATATATATATATATATATTTGATTATTATAATTAGATATATTAAATAAAAATATATATTTAATTATGAGATTATATCATGCTATACATATTTAAATATATTATTGAGTGAAAATTCTTCCTATAAATTGACTATGGTCAAACAAAGAGTACACCAATTTTAAATATTTGGTAAGTTATTTGGGTATGTTTAGACTTAAAATTAAATTCATACCATATCAATTTAAGTTTATAATTTAATATTATTAAACTATATTTAATGAGATTAATGTGTTTTTCTGTATTCTAAAATAATGTATATGACCAATTTTAATATTATTAAACTATGTTTAATGAGATTAATGTATTTTCTCGTATTCTAAATATATGACCAATTTAGTTTTAGGCTATAATTGCACTGAGTATTTATTTATTTTTAAATTTAATTAATAGAGGTATTTGATATAGAAAATATTTTTGTATTAGTTTAATATTTTTTATAATTGTATTTTCATTTGAAATAAAGACTGAATTTTATGATTTTAAGAATTGAATTTATGATTTATATTTTAAATTATTTTTTGTCAAAGTTTCTAATAAAATTTTAGTTTGTTTTTAAATAATTATTTTCAATTTTTATTTAGTAGACTTTTATAACTATGAGTCTAATTATATTTTTAAAAATTAGGACGATTAAAAATAATAATAAAAAACAATTTATATATGTTTAGAAAAAAATGCATTTTTAGTAGTCACAGTCTTTTATAATTACAATAAAAATAAAAAAGGTATATATTATTTTTTAAAATAGTTAAATAAAAAAATTCAATAATAAGTAGACGTCAAGTTAAAAACAAATATTTAATAAATAAAAAATAATGATGTTTCTTTTCTAAATTAAAAGCAAAGTTTTATTTAAAAAAAAAAATGGTAAATGAGTTATTTATAATAGAGAGAAATTAACAATATAACAAACAATTTATCTATATCCGGAAAAAGTAAGCATGGACGTTGCTGTGGAAGAGCAGTCGCAGAGCCATTTTTGTAATTACTTCAAAATTGAAGGATGTTATTACAAAATTAATAATATTATTTTGACAGAATGCAATAGTGAAGGCAGCGGCCTAAAAAGCCATCCATAAACAATAGTTTCTCTCTCCCTCGGTCATCCTATTGTTCTTCTCTGTTTTGCGTCTTCGTTATCGTGCGCTTCTCGGACGATCTCAACCTCACAGATTCATTGCCTGCCTAATATCGATCTCTGTATGACGGCTAGCTCTAATTTGAAGCCATAATTCTGCAATCTGATCTTTCTCTTTTGTTCAATCTTTATTTTTGTGTTTTCAATCTTCAAGATCCCTAATTTTATTCATCGTTTCAATCTGCAATTTCAACAGCTATTTCTTTTGGTTTTCATCTAATTTTCGGCCACTTCTCTTATTTGATTCACATCGATATGTATATGCGTTTCAATTTTCGGTTTGTTGCATGTTAATGAATTTAGTTAGGTCTTCGATTCAATTTTTTTGTTCTTCGCGATTACTTGGCGTGTCTTCGATAATTTTTGGTTATGTTTTTATTTTGAAAATTGTTCGATCTAGAATTCTGGTATTTACAGTTTTCATGTGCTCTTCGTTGAAAATTGTCTTTTAGCTCTAGCACAATCGATTGACATAAGGTTTCATCCTTCTATTGTGCTCGTTTCAGTTAATAGACGGTTGTGGGGTTTATTTTATCTGTGTAAAAAAAATTTCGCGTTTATTGATGAAAGTGTGGGCATTAGATGTAGGGTGTGGCCATGAGTATTGTGTAGGAACATGATAGCATGTCTAATTAAATGTCAGCGAGCGCTGGCAGCACTTTCGCCTGTGTATGGTTCTCTTGTTCTTGTCACATGATAATTATTGATATAAATAACAAAATGTGGAATAAAAAATATTTTTTATTATACAGAACTGACTCTTAGATACGGTGAAGATTGATAGCATCCTCTAGTTTCCTGGGAAAATTATTGAAAGTTGTGTCCTGTGTACAATTAGACATCAGAATGAGTTAGACTGCTTTCTTCCTAATTTGTATATGCACTTAGTAGGCTTTTGTTCCATTCGCTGGTAGCCTTTCAGCTTTTGCTTTCATAATTATATTTGCTTTATTTTGTTCATAGCAACCATGAGTGACGGAGGAGAAAAGACTTGCCCCCTCTGTGCGGAAGAGATGGATCTAACTGATCAGCAATTGAAGGCATGCAAATGTGGATATGAGGTCTGGAACCTATACCGTAAATGTAGATCAGCAATTGAAGAGATGTGATCTCTTTGTATTTTACAAGTTCTATAGAAAATATATTATATTTGGGCTTAGATTATGGCGTGATAATAAGGTTTAGCCGAGTGTTGTAAGTTAGTAGCTTTCTCATGAAAATCAAAAGAAAATGATACTATGATATATTATGGAAAAATGACGATTTATTTATTTGATCCTACTTTTTGCGGACTTCTGTTTTTTTCTGGGTTTCATATTTTAATTTTAGTCTGACTTATAGCAATGTTTATTGATGTTTTGACACTGCTATTAAGTTTAGACAAACGTCTATCAGCAAAACAACCTTTTGGAGAAGTGTGTGCATCTTTTCTGAATTCCTTTCATGGAAGACTTATGCTTCCCACTTTAGATGTTGAGTTAGCTCTTACTTTTTTGAGAATTAGGGAACTTCCGTATTATATTTTAATTTTCCACAAGTTTTATGTATATTACTCGAGCTTCCAGTAGTTTATTATGGATATATCTCCATCTTTTCAATTTAAGAGTAGAATAGAATCTTAAATTTATGGCTACACCACTTTCAGATCTGTGTTTGGTGCTGGCATCATATTATGGACATGGCTGAGAAGGATGACACTGAGGGTCGATGTCCTGCATGTCGTTCTGTATATGACAAGGACAAAATTGTAGGCACAGCATCAAGTTGTGAAAGGTCATTTTCCCTAGTTATTTTCTATCTGCTTTTATTAACTAGGGGCTTCTTACAAATACCTGTGCTTTGGGAAATTCCTTATCAATTTTTTCCTCCTATGAGGTCGCAGATTATGGATCAAGTTTCTTTTTTTTTTTTTTTTTTTCCTATCAGAAAAAAATAATTAATCAGCACTGCATTAGTGTCTGACTAGTGTTTGGGTATAGTGGTCGGCAACTGTTTGATAGAGTTTTGTAATTATTCTTCTTTGCTATTAAATCAAAATGGGGCGTCTGTTACTAATATTATTTTAAATTTATTTTCCTGTATGGCCTGGTGTAAGATTAATTTGGGATTAGATTTATGTTAGCTTAATATTTGGTCTTTGTTCTTGTCTCGTTTCTCTTTTAATGACAAGTGTTAAGAGTGTTAAATCCCATTGCTAAGTGATGGAGTTGTTTGATGTGTACGCCTAGGCATAAACATTTTGCATTACTTTGTTATTGCTACCTTATTTATAATTCTTCCATTTGCATTTTTTTAGATAAATCTGTCCTTGATAATTGTTCTTAGCAGATTGGTTGCTGAAATCAGTGTGGAAAAAAAGTTTAAGTCACAAAAAGCAAAAACCAAATCATCCGAAGGACGGAAACAACTTAGTAGTGTACGTGTGATACAACGGAATCTTGTATATATTGTTGGGTTGCCTCTTAACCTGGCAGATGAAGATGTATGTTGTGCTTCTCTGTTTCTGAAACTATTGGTTCTTAAATAGATTTGTTTACTTTTGGTTCTGATGGGTTAATGGATGCCCTCTTATCATCCCTTGTGCAGCTTCTTCAGCGTAGAGAATATTTTGGTCAGTATGGGAAAGTTCTAAAAGTGTCCATGTCCCGTACAACAACTGGAGTCATTCAACAATTTCCAAATAATACGTGTAGTGTGTAAGTTCAAATGTTTTTATAGAATGCAAATCTTACATTTTTTTTTCCTGAAAATAAATTGTATTATTTATTTACATAGGTTATTTAACTTTCAGATAACTCATTGCATTTCAAGCTGCCCTTTTGGAACATTTTGTTTCTGGGCATCTGGTTTGTACATGAAGGCTGATTTGTTTAGTTTGAATTTTGGGCATTGAAATAATTCTTATTCCATGATTTACTAGAATTTTGTATGCTATATGCATACAAAAATATTTATTTATTTGTTGTGTTTTTTTCAAATGAAAAAAATATTTATTTCTTGTAATTTTTTTGGGTTAGATATATTACATACTCAAAAGAGGAGGAAGCTGTTCGATGTATCCAAAATGTACATCAGTTTGTCTTGGAGGGTAAACCTTTAAGGTGAGTGTATAAATAGAGCACATCTTGAATATTCCGACTAATGGATTGGTGAAAACTTTGTAATTTGCTATCTCTGGGTGCCTCAATTTTAGGGCATGCTTTGGAACGACAAAGTATTGCCATGCATGGTTGAGAAATGTGGTATGAATTTATAATTTTCTTCTCTTGTTTTTATAGTCATTCTAATTGAAAATTTTATAACTTTTACGTTTGCTTTGGATCATAATGTTATCAACTAATTTTTCAGCCTTGCTCCAACCCTGATTGTTTGTATTTACACGAGGTTAGTTCTCAAGAAGATAGTTTCTCGAAAGATGAAATCATTTCAGAATACACAAGGTGTGATAATCATTTTGTATTTAAAATTTCTGTTGTGCTTTTGGGATTTCTCTAATATATTTTTTTTATATTAAGATTCACTGCTCAATTAATTAATTAGTTATTTTTTAGTTCAAAATGCTAATTGATGTTTGACCATGAGTTATCAGAGAGGCTTGTGGAAAGATATATGATGTTTGACTACTTGAAGTGTGGAATGACATAGCTAGCAATTGTTTGCTCTGAATTTATTTCTCAGCTCTTTACCTTTTTCTATAATTAGATGAAATTTTCTACTTCTGTTGTCGAACCAAATAAAGTTATCCATCATCTCTTAAGAAATAGGCTATGGATGTAATACAAATCCCTATCTCTACCACAATCTAGTTTGGACTACAAACGCAATAGATATCCATATATATCTGTCTATAATTATTTCCCTCGATTCTCTCATTATGCTAAATTTGCAGAGATTGTCCAATGTTATACATTTTTAATCTTTTAAAATTATTTTATGTTTTATGACATATCCCGTCAACTAGCTGATACTTCTGCGTTTCAGAAAAAAAAAAAAAAATTGGTTCTTATGTTCCCTTCTACAAAAGAATATTGGAACTTGTAAAAGAGAAGACATCCATGGGGGAATTCCAACAAACATCAAACCTTAATAGCAATTTTAGCAAACAAGGGGAAGAATGCAGCATCCATAGTGTTAGCCTAAGTACACACTAAGAGGGGGGAGATTATGGAAAATGAAGCCTCCATTGCATGATTATGCAAGTGATCAGCTTTCCCTAATCCAAATCTAAAAGAACACTTGATTCTAATAAACCACACTAATAAAAGGGGATAAAATCCATTTCATGATCAGACAAGTAATACTATTACCATGATTGTTTTGTTGTTACTGTTATCATTGTTTATTGTTGTGTTTGGATGACTCTTGCTATTTGGCTTCTTGGAGACTTTATGTTTTGGTTGGATGATTAATTAACTTATGTAGTTGTATTAAAGGAATAGGGTGCAACAAATTACTGGTGCCTCAAACAGTATGCAACGGCGTTCTGGGAGTGTCTTGCCTCCAGCTTTGGATGATTACTGCAATAGCAATTCTTCAAATGGGAAACCCATTGTTAAAAACACTTCAAGTGTAAGACATCCTAAACTTGTATTGCTAAAGGAACTGTTGATGTTTCTTTCATATATATGTTATACAGCAATAATTTGTTCTTTTAGTTTGATATTTGGTTATGTTAAACCTCATAACATTTGTTAGATTAACGTTTTTGTGTTATCTATCTATGTATTAGTAGAGATTTCCATGGGGCGGGGCGGGGACGCTTCCCTGTCCCCTTCCCCGTGAAATTCCCCATTCGTTTTTGTGGGGACCGGGTTCCCGTGGGTAATCTTTCCCATTTATTATTCTTTTTAAAAAATAATTATTTTTAAGTTTTCATTTAACAATATAATCTTTATTAAAAAATTGTAGAAAAAAATCATAAATAGATATATTTCACAAGCAAACATATATATATATATATATATATATGTACTACCAACAAAATTTCTAAAAATTCAAATTTTTAATATTACAACATAGTCATTAGTTTAAATATTACAATTAGAGTCTCAAAAGTAACTAATTTATTTTTTAATATTGCCTAGAAGCATATATATATGTGTGTGTGTTAAAAATATATTTATACTAAGCAGGACAAGGACGGGGAATGTAGTTCAACTTGGTTAAAATTTTTAATCCGAAGAACATTCTTGGGGTGACAGTCTATTACGTATTATTTTGATAATACAAGTAATACATTCTTGGGGTGACAGTCTATTACGTATTTTTTTTATCATATAAGTAATCTTGACTGTCGGGAATAATTTTAGAAACTTTTGTGACATAGGTTATCTTTCTTTTCATACACTTCTCTTTCTATTTATCACAAATTGGTTCACACATGTTATCTATAGAAAGTTTTGTATCCAAAAGAGTTAAGGTTTTTATGTTTATATGCTTGAATAATTTTGTTAACCAGAATACTGGTAGCACCATTAGAGGTTCTTCTCCAAATGAAAGCTCAGATAAGTCAATTGCTCTACCAGCAGCTGCGTCATGGTACATGGATGTTTATGTTTGCACACGTTTTAAAGTTCTCAACTTTATTTAAGAGGTCACAAAACACATGTTATTTCTGTCAGGGGGACCCGAGGCTCAAATTTCCAAGCACCTGCTACAAGTTTATCAAGTTCAAATGGGCCTTCCAAACGGTCCGATGCTGCTAATAGCATATTATCATCTTCCCCTTCAGTTGCAGGTATTTCTTCGGCTCCTACATTACATAGTGAAGCTGCAAAGAGACCTGCATTTAATGAGAGTCGCACTTCTAATAATGCCAAAGGTCACCAAGAATCCTTAAAATCTTTGAAACCTCCTATTAGCATGGATTGTCAACCTTTTTCAACAGACAGACATGATTCCCCTGAGGAGGTGCCTACTTCTGTATCTTTGAGTTATCCAGGGGCTGGAATTCCAGCCACCAAGGACAGTCAGAATGCAACGGCTTTGTCACCGATCATTTTGACTAATACTCACCATACTGAGGATTCTTGCAGTTCTTGTCCTGAAGCAGGAGATACTTCTGATGGGCTAATACAAAATCTGAGCTCAACAGTTATCATCGATAGGGATAATAGAGATGATCAATCTGGTCTAAGGCCAAATTCTTTAGTCTCTGATCATGATTTGATTAAAGCTTCCAGGGATCACCATAGCTTACAAGAGCAATTTTCTTCTGGGCAGTCTAGAGTAGCACCTCTAACTTCTACTGCTCGGAAAGGCGATGATTTGGTTAAGGCCATGTCTTTTTCAAGAGAAGAATGTGATTGGAGATCAGATTTCCAGAGAGAGGTGGTAAATGCAACTGAATTGGAAGAGGATGTGATATCTTTTAATAGTCAGAGGCTCAAGGATCCAGAGATTTTGAGCCCTTCAACTCGGCTGCCTGGCTGGGCTTCTACATTTCATGCTCTGAATGGCTCTACCTCTCATCCATTGTGGTCAGATGCTGTCAACGGGGCAGGAACCAGTTTGGCATCTGATTTGTCGCTTGTTGATAAACAGTTCAACAATAATTCATCTCTACAGTCATCTAGCACCCCTCCTGCATTTAGCAGTCACCTTGAGAATGGAGTCAATACTTCTGGGCAGTCTTTGCAGACTTTAAGACATATAGTGGCCAATGACACTACTAATTTAAATGCTGGTACACATTTTGTCGAAAACCAACTCAATGATAATTCACATTTCCGTGCATCTAACGTTTCAACTGCTATAAATAGCAACATGGAGAATGTGATCAGGTCTTCTGCTGCTACTGATATGCCTCATGGAAATTCATTTTTACTTCACAATGAAGGCAGAGGGAGGCACACGGGATGGTTGTCTGGTGACATATTGAATGCCAATAGCAATAGTTTTGTAGATAATGGTGAAAATAACATAATCTCAAATATACTATCAATGGACTTCAACATGTGGGATAACACATTAACATCCCAGAATTTGGCCAAGTTTTTGGGTGAAACTGACAAACAGTCTCTAAGTTCTAGGAAGGTGCAAAACAACAATCAGTCCAGGTTCTCCTTTGCCAGGCAGGAAGATTCTAAAGGACAAGATTTCAGGATACAACCTTCTGTTGATATAATTGGACAGATGCAAAGGAATCAGTCTTTGAGGCATGATTTCTCTGAAGATGGAAATGTGCATTTGGACAAGTTTCATAATAGTGGTGGCTTCTATTCTAACAATTATGATGGATCAGTAAACCATTCAAGCAGCCACTCTATTAATTCCTCAAATAAGCTCTCTGGTGAGTGTTCATATTTTAGATAAGTTTTCAGATATTTTGGCTTCTTTTTGTTTTTGAGCTTTCTTATTTAATGGTAGTGTTTGTCAGATTGTTTTCATATTGTCTTAATTTTCCATTGTCTTTATATATTTTTTCTTTGCATTGTTCTTTCATGTTAATGGGTAACGTGTCGGTATGGAAATCTCTTCTTTGTGCCCGTTCTTGGGATTCAGATCACCGGAACCAAATTTCTCCTGTTTTGATTTTTTTTTCTTTTCTTCAAACAGATGCTTCTACATTCAACGTAAAGTCTTATTTAGCTTCTTTTGATTCATTCATCTATTTATCAGAATTAAAGTATTGTCCCTCATATTCAACATGCTCTCTGAAGTTCCCTTTTGGAACCAGCTGTTTTACCTGTTTAGAATAGAAATCTCCTCACAGACTCTCTTTTGCAGCCGTTTCGAGAGCTCAAATTTCGGCTCCACCTGGCTTCTCTGTTCCAAGCCGGGTGCCCCCTCCTGGTTTCTCTTCCCATGACAGAGTGGATCAAGTTTCTGACTCCTTCTCTGGTTTGTGTGTTTTTCTCAGCTTATTAAAGTTATATTAAAATTCTTTTGTAACTTTTGTTCACTGGGTTAAATTTTCACCTTTTGATTCAGGAAATCATCTTCTTGATGCTTCTTCCTTATTGAGAAATTCATATCATGAAAATCAAACTGGAAATAATGTTAGCACGGGTGATATTGAGTTTATGGATCCGGCTATTTTGGCAGTTGGTAAAGGGAGGCGTCAGATAGGTCTTAACAATACTGGTTTAGATATTAGGACACCATATTCTCATTCATTAGGTACCTTCGATAATGAAGTGAGTCTACAGTTACTGATGCAAAGATCTCTGAACTCCCAGCAGAGGTATTCTGATGTCCGAGATGGTTTCTCTCATCTCGGGGATTCCTATGGTATTTCTTCGAGGTATGCGGACCAGTCTCAGGTTAACAATCTATCTAATTTTGCACAGCTGTCCCTCCAAAATTCTAGAAATGGGCTTGTGTCACATGGCCACTGGGATGGAGGCTGGAATGAGGTTCAAGGTGGAACCAATATTAGTGTGGCAGACATATTGAGAAATGATAGGCTTGGATATAACAAATATTATGCTGGTTACGAAGACTCAAAGTTTCGCATGCCCAGCTCAAGTGATCTATACAACAGGACCTTTGGGATGTAAAATTTGGTGAGTTTAATGATGTGAGTGCCTAGATTGGTGGCAGCATTTGAGCGAAGGACTAGGAAATTAACCTTGTGAGGTCCATAAACGTGTAGCCATGATATCGTGGGAGATTCATAGTCCGGCCTTATGGCTTCCTGATGAAGATTTGTGCCCCCGATGGAATTGGATTATGTTACCTCCAGGTAAGGGTGTATCGTTAGTATATTTTTCTTTTGTTAGTTACTCTTCCTTCCTAAAACAACTTTTTTTAATTGAATAATTTTGTTTCTTTTATCATCTTCTGCCCGTTTCTTATAATCCCCCCTCCCTCAACCCAAGTAGGCAAACTCCTGTGTTTGGGCTTGAAGAATGTTGGTAGGTTGGATAACCCTATTTTTGGAAGAGGCTATTATTTACCTTCTCATTGCCTTGTAGTTAGTAGTTACTATTGCGTGCACATGGAAACGTATGGATTGATTGGAGCTAGCCTTGAAATCGTTCCTCTATTTTTTTGTGAATGCTTGCTGATTTGTTCTACTTGTTCCATTCGTGTCTGTGTAGGTGTGATATCGCTCACGCGTTTGTATCCCGGCAAGTTGTATATTGGCAACTATTATTTGACAGGAAGTTGTAAATGTCTGTCAATCTGGTAGGGCGACCCTACCTCCAGCTGTTGAATAGTTTGTTCCTTGGTAACAGCGAAGAGTAAAAGAAACTACTGTTTAAGGTTGAGATTGGAGTTCCTGAACTGCATAAGGCTATATGTAAATCAATTCGAATGTACTTTGGCCTCATTGGGTGATAATCATTCCTCCCTCGGGTTATTACCAGTGCAATTACAATGAGGTGGAAACTTGGTTCATTACCGCTAAAGTTGACCCGTCACGGTGGCAGCACAAACTTGATTCTGGCTTCACCGGGAAGAACGTCGACCTTGCCTCTTTTATGAATCAACTAATTGGGTGGATCAAATCCTTTGACTTCTCCACTTCCTTCCAAGTCAAATACCCAAGTATTAAAAAGTGCCCGTACGGTTGTATCGACCAAAAGCAAGATCTTATGAATCTTCTGGTATCACAGTATGCATGCTGGATGAATACCTATAAACTTGTATTGCCATAGTTTTCTTTCTTTTTGGGAGAAATTGAACAATATTCTCACTCGAATTGCCAGATGTTTGATTAAATGAAGTTTGGGGTTGCTCTGTCTGTTGGATGGACGAAGTGTGTTCTTTTGATCCGTAGTGGAAACTGAATAATGTTGGATCAGGTGATGGCATTGAGCAAGGCGTGGCAATGGATTACACCACCTTCATCAACAGATTTTATTAAATGGCGGCTTGTTGTATCAAAACAACTGAGAGTTTAAATGTCATAAATAATTTTGAAATATTTGACAGATGGTAATTGATAGAATGGGTTGTCCAATTTAGTGGTAAGTAAGTAGTAGGCGACCTATTGAAAGTGTTCGTGTGGTTAAAATATATGCAAGGAAAATACACTATCCAACAGTAATGGAGTGGGGAGGATGGTGTCCTTAAATGAGGTGATGGCCACTTGCCATTCACGAAGAGACAGCCCAATCAGGCTTGGATTTGGACTTCTTTGGCCGCCAATAGCAATAGTAAAATTATTCACAGCCCCCATCCTTTTCTTCGATATTAATATTTCATAATTTATAATTTATTTACAATCTTACCCTCTTTTTTTTTACATTTATTACACCAACGGCAAGGATGGTGGGGGTCCCACAAATGCTTTACAACTTCCCCTCCCAATTGCCAACTGGGGTGTCTTCTTCTGCTCCACAAATTATATGTATTTAATATTCCACAAAACAAATAAAAAAAATAAAATAAAAAATAAAAACAATAAAGGAGACCCCACAAAGTGGTATTAAACCAAACAAACCAGGTTCTAGGGGGGACCCACTGATGGGCTATAGGGGAAGGGCCGAAACATCCAAATGGGCTTGGGCCCACCACGTGCCCCAAGGCCCACTTAATAGGAGAATCTGTGGTTGTGTGGCAGCTGTGGCCATTTAATCCTGGCCGTCAAAATCATTATGTGAGAGAAAATGAGAGCAGAGTTTTCATTCCATGGGAGTATTATTTAAAAGGGCAATGTTTGAGGATCTCAAACCTCAATGCACAGAATAAAGTAGAAAATAAAATAAAATAAAATAAAATAAAATAAAATAAATAAAGGCCTCTGAAACCTTAATAGTAGAAAAAAATACGTAACCAAAATTATTTTAAATAGTCCCACTGTGGGCCCCACTTTCTTTCTCCTTCTAATTTTGCACTCCCACCCCCTCCTTTATTTCTTATTTACATTCCCACCCCTATTTTATTCTCTTTTTATTTATAAATTTCAACATCTAACCCCATTTGTTCTGATTTTCCACGAAATCAAAGGATTTAGAGTAAATTTACATTTAATTAACAAGTCAAAAGGCTTTCTCATTTCTATTTATTTTATTTTAAAAGAAATGGGAAAAATTTTCTAATATCTTAATTTGTAAGTAGTGAATATTCTTTCTAATATTTTAAAAACTAAAAAAAAAAAAAAAACATATTTCCAAAATTTACCCTTTGAAACAAAATTTCCATAAATGGATACCTAAGCTTTCATTGGAATCCAATTCTTCATAAAAGCAAAGGAAATGTTCTTATTCATATCTTATATGCCTCATTTGTTTTTTTCTTAAATTATTTTTTTATTTTATACAATGAAAATAATAATAATAATAATAAAAATTCACAAATTTGATTCTTAATTGATTGATGTGATAGAGGCAAAAAAAAAAAAAAAAAAAAAAAAAAAAAAAAAAAAAAAAAAATCTATTTTCTGTCTTAGATATTTTCTCACAACCTTTCTTTATTTACAAATTCCTTTTTGTATCTTTGAAAAAATATATTTCCAAAATATAATTTCTTTTTTTCCATTTCTTTTACAAAGCTTTAAAGCTACCTTTCTCTAAAGTTTAGTTTGTCTCTCTAATTGTAATCAAAGCTTCTTTTTAATTTAAAATGGTAGCAACCGTGTAATATTTGCTTAAATAATTTTGACCTAAAATATCGAGTCGAATTTCAATTAAAGCAGGTACATATTGATACATCGTAAGATTGTAAGAGGTGTTGATGGATATGACAAAACTTCGATAATTATGGTTAGATTATGACACGAAAAGTAGGGTGTAGAGAGACATATAGATTATAGCAGACGAAAAGAGTCAGCCAAACATTTCACAAAATCAAGTTAAGAATGTCCTTGAACGTAATCGAGCATTCAAGTGCTTTGTCTAATAGCGAGTGGACACGAGTAGTAATGACACAGTTTTGTCAATAAAATTGGAGTTGTCATATCAAAGTATTGGGACGAAAATTTCTCGAACCAAAAGTACTTTTTTTTTCCCTTTTTGGGATGCATTCACTTTACCATCCAATATAATTATGCAATCCGAGAAAGCTAAAATAAAATAATTGTTACGTTATAATAATTTAATTATTTTAAATTAATAATTAATTAATTAATTATTATAATTTTTTTTTTTTTTTTATAAAAGAATTAGATTGTTACAAATGTGAAAGAAGATAGAGCCTATATAGTCAACTAAGTTGATTTATCTCGATAAATTAAAGTGTTTTAGGGTCAATAAAGAATCTGAGCCTACAAAAAGATATTCGGTACTGTGTTTTAAAAATATCTTTAAAATTTTAAAATTGTATTAAAATTCTCATTAATTTAATAAAAAATATATAAAAATAAAAACTTTAAGATGCTCTTTTTAAAAAATAATATAGATAAAATTATTACCACCTTTAAAATGACATGAATTTCCTTAGTTTTTTAAAAAAATTAAAAAGTTATTACCGTTAATATCGGGACATAATCCCAATCCATTTTTTTTTCTTAGCTTCTTAAATTCCTTCTCAATTCCATTATTTTTTTTGTTATCGATCTTCTTATATGATCATTTTAGATAAAATGAAAGAGTTATTTGGTTTAGGAGCATTTTCAAACATAAATAAAATAAATTTGATATCACTTGTCACAATCGCATTTGAAGGGCAGGGGACTTACGATTGTGTGACACTTACTTCCCAGTAACAAGTGAGGTAAGTCTATTCATTATCACGTCGCCTATGACCAAGCGACGTATGCTCGAGCTTCTGGCCCCGATTCAAGAAGAAAGTTTTAGAAAATGGAGCAGAGAGATTTCAAAATAGAGTTTTGAAAGAAAGATTTGAGAAATTGAAATTGAAATGGATGTTACATGAGAATATAAACAAAAGTTAGGTGAATGCATATAAATATCGGACAGGGAGAAGATAATTTATCTTTAAGGTATGTTTAAAGAAATGGCCTATAAAAATGTTAAAATTTCTTATATATATATTTTTTTTATTAATTGTAACATAAATGAAAATGAAAATGAAAATGAAAATGGTGTATAATGAAGTAAATGGGAGAGTGGGAAATGACAATTGCAGCAAAGAGAGAGAGAGAGAGAGATGATTGATTTGACAGTACAATGAGATTGAGATAAAAGGGCGAAAGAGACATTTTAAAAAATGTATTTTTCTCAAAATTTATAATTAATTATTTATGTTATAAACCAACACCTGACCCTCTTTTAGTTCTTTACTAACAAGGAAGGAAGTTTAGGTGCAAAAATAAAATAGGGTTCAATCCGTAAACCATATCTAACAATCCACTTAACAACGTTCTAGCGTTCATTGTCTCGATTAACAAGAAATCTACAAAGAATACTAAGTTGACGACCAAAGTCACTTGCTATACATTTCTATCGATATAAGCTTAGGCTTAGACTTAGACTTGTTGTTGTATTAATTCTCAAATCTCACGTTCATTCGAGTGAGCTAAGCTATTATCCCACATTAGTTGGGGAGGAGAACGAAACCACTTTTATAAGGGTGTGAGGGGAAGCTCGAAAGGGAAAACGTAAAGAGGACAATATCTGCTAGCGGTGAGGTTGGACTGTTACAGGAATTATAATTTTTTTTTTATGACAGTTGAACATCTTAGGAGTATAAGCTTTTGTTCATTGTTACCGAATACCCTTCAGAACTCTAAGCACATCAACCTTTGACTTAACCTCGGGTACTAAGACGCCTAACTGTCCATTCACCTTGTACATTACGAAACTATCGGTTCGCTTAACGTGGTTTTACCTCCGGCCGTGGTTCGAAAGTCTTCTAAAGAATATAAAAAATAGGCATTAAAGTGGAATTAGAAAAGAAAATGATATGGGTGAAGTATCCTAATAGGAGGGGATAGGAGAAAGTGAGAGGCAAAGGGAGAAGAGCCAAGAGAATAAAAAATATTATCTACAAAAATAAAAACAGAATTTATTGGTTTGATCTGAAATTCTGGACCTGTATTCATTAAACATTGCATAATTGGTTGGAAGGCGGCAATATGAGAGCACCACGTTTCCTCATTTCTGCCCGCATTTCACTGTTTTCACACAGATACGCAGACACACAAACAAAAGCATATAAATACCATAAATCACAGTCAGACTTGAACTGACAAAGTAGAAACAAATTGGAATGAGGTAAGAAGGTCACGCAGATATTAATAAAACAGCCTTCCCCGATGTTCGACTCTTTCTTTGGAATCCTCGAACAAAGTACACTGTTTGTACCTTCGAGGCTCATAATGAAAATTTTATTGATATGACTAAGTTAAGAACATGACTCTAATACCATGTTAGGAATTATGGCTATCTACAGTGGTATGATGTTGTTCACTTTGAGCATAAGCTCTCATGACTTTACTTTGAGCTTCCCCAAAAGGGCTCGTGCTAATGGAGATGTATTTCCTTAGTTATAAACCCATGGTCATTCCTAATTTAGCCAACGTGGGACTCCCTCCCAACAATCTTCAACATGTCATTGCCAATGCACCAATCTTTCTGACTCTCTCAACCTTTTTAAGTGTTCAGACTAGCGTTTCAGGGATCAATGACCAAAAACTGAGTTATTTGTCACCCGAACATTCAACAGCTAGATCCAAAGAAACGACACGTTCTTCCTTCCACAACTTTCTCTAGACCCTACAATCCCTCCGACACCCCATAATAAAAGAGACAATTTTGTATTCTTGGTCTATGAAGACAGGTTAGGTCCGATTACATGTAAGAAACCCAACTACTTAACCCTACTGAAAATGTTTTATAAAAAGGGCATAGAACATGACAAGGTACAGTTCTAACCAGAAACTGAGACAAATGTTACCAGGAACACAGAACAAAGGAAAAAGTTAGGGGCAGGGAACTGTACAATAGTGAATGCAGGAGTACGTATTATATAAGCATGTTTGAAAGGTACAGAAATGTGAAACATAGTATTTTGTAATGAGCTATTAAGTCAGAAATCAAGCCATAGAAGTGCAAATTAATCATTACTTAAAAGCATACAAATGAAATGAAGATAACCAATTAAGCATATCTCACTTATGGTCACCCTCTAATATAGAAGAATAAGGATTATGGCGGTGCATGTTGTTGGTTCAACAGGTGGTGATACTGGGGGGGGTTGAGGGAGGCTTTGGCAGAATTGAAATGGATATTTTGGGCGATCGAGCTCGGTTGGTGAGGTGGAGGCATGGCAGCCGGGAAATGGGTAGCTGAAAATGAGAATCCTGATGATGCTGCAGTAGAGAACAGTGGCATTTGGGCGGCATTAATCGGGCCATGGATTTGCCATGCCCAGTTAGGGACTCCTTGGGATGAACCTAATGCAAGTCTCTTCTCTGTCATGCTTTCCTGAAAGCAAAATTCAGATAATACCATGTAATTCAGGTCCTGTTTGCTTTAGCATCTGATGTGTTGTTAATAGTTTCCAACATTAGATCAAATATTAGCCTCCACTGCTATCAAGTTTGAGTATTCATTCATCTAGTGGGCTCACAAGAATAAGTCGTACAGTGTCGTACTATGTTATCCACTAAGCAGTTCAATGATTGCTAAAGTCAAATTGTTCATCCTTTGAGTCATTGGACATTATGAGTGCAAAAACATCAAGTGCTATTTTGATCGTAATACTCTATGATGTACAGCAGCAAGTTAAAAGGGGCCGACTACCCTTGCAATTAATTCAGTAATCAAAGATGCTGTGGGATACAATTGATTGAACCATATTTGTTTGAGTTCAACCAGGAAACTGATAGCGAAAAAGTTCACAAATTTTCGAACTAAGCTCTAAAATAACATCATATCAGTGAAACTCACCTCACTGGGGAAGAAGCTAGATTGTGTACCGTTCCATAAGGGAGCATGCTCTGATGTCATTGCCAGTCCATTCACAGGTGGATCGCCAACTGCTGCACGGGCATTGCTCTCCATCTTCAACATAGATAATTCAAAAAGTAATTTAGGGTAATAATTTTTCTCTGTCAGTCATTCATTTTTGGGAACTCTCATTGCTAAATAGAAACTGGAATGTTTCACGAATTCTTTGTTTAGTGTTTACCTTTGTGCTCCTATCATTAGGAAAGCAAGGACCAGATTGGAATCGCAGATGCCCATCATCCTCGTTTGGACAGTTGGAAGGGGGTGAAATCCCTAAATTCAAATCAAGCATACTCCGACCACCTATAATGGAATTTGTACACAATCAAAAACAAGTTGGAACAAATTGTGATAACCACCAGATCATCCATGCATAAGCGTATATGGTTTATAGAAATATACCTTCACTGCTGCCCTCAGAAACTCCCTCTCCTTCGTATGTGCTAGGCTCAAAGTTGGTTACTGCCTCCCTCCCATTACATTTGATTGCTGCCTTGTCATAAGCCCTAATTTCCACAAAAATAAAAAGGGAGACGTGTTGGTTGGATCCCTATTGAGGTTGAAAGTTCAGGATAATAAAATCAGTTCAGGTAGAGTGAAATTCGTGCTTTAAGACCTTGCAGCTTCGACCTCGCTGTCGAACAGCCCAAGATATATATACCTGCAGAAAGGATTATAACCTCCGTGATGAAAACACCATCCCATTTCTTCTAAGAAATAGGCATCTTAGATTTCTATTTTTCCAAGTGATGAAAGAACAAATAATCCATTGAGAAAAGGCTAGAAACCAAGTCTCAGTTTGCTATATAACGTTTATTCACAGGCCTCTTAACCAAAGATCAAAAGTAAAGCATGCTTTTCAATTTCACATTATGATTGCTCACTTTTTCCCAAGGAGCTGCCCCATTCTAGCTTCCCATCGGCCACATTTGTGCAGTGTTACCCCTCTATATTTTGAGCTCCCCCTTGAGAAACCAGTGCTCTGGCGACGAAGTATGTGAACAAACTCTTCCTTGCTTAAGTTCTCCATCTGCCCGAGAATATTATTGAAGGATAAAGGAAATTCTTAGGAAAAGTAATTCTTAAATCATGTAATTTGACGATGAAACGAATTCGCTGAAGGAAAGATAAAATAGACGGCACTTCAGCTAACCAGTTTCAGGTCTTCCTCATAATCGCTAACATTGAAATTAATATCAGCGTCTACCCCCCTGAACTTGATAGCAGCTCGATCATATGCTCTAAATTTAGAAAACTTCAAAAAGTCAAACACAAATTCTTTGCTCATAATAGTATAAGTGTGGGCTTTCTCCTCCACGCATATGAATTTACCTTGCTGCAGAGTGTGCCGTGTCGAATCCACCTACAGGAACCGAAGAATTATAAATTCGTCAGGAATTTTCCAAAACAGAATATGTTAACGAAAATTTCCTTAAAAAATGAAACTCGGAAAATGCTGTAGATGACAAATATTTCCATAAATAACACAAATCAAAGCAAATTAAGTAATCGAGTCAAAGTCATACCGAGATAGACTTGCTTCCCGCAGTCCCTGCACGCGAACAGTTGAAAAACAAGAAGTTTAGACAATAGATGACTAATGAAGCATACATCGGAGTGCATTAGAAATCTAATTCAATCAAGCAAATAAATTCATTTGAATTCAACGGAAGGATACGTCAACTGAGTGAACGAACGGACTATCAGAATTTAACGAAAGAGGCAAAAGCAAACAAGTACACGATTCAACAAATTTTTTAGTAAGTCAAATTCACTCACCAAATATGAGATTCCCACCGCCCAGTCCTCCGGTAGAATGTGACGCCTCTGTACTGCGAACTACGAGACCTTGGACCCCTCCTGCTCTTTTTCACCGGCTGAGGCTGAACTGGCTGAACCGTTCTCCCCTCCCCTGCTGAACTGCTTCGATTGCACGCAAGGTCGATCCAGTTCTTCCTCGAAGAAGATGACGAAGAAGAGGCCGATTTATGCCCCTGAGGAATCCCGAATTCAGCATTCACCGCTCCACCTAACGGAAAAAACTCCTTAGTGACCATATCGTTCGTGCTTCCAGCCTTCAATATTTCGAAGTTGAGCGTGAAGAGCTCGCCACCAGCGCGTGTGGAGCACGAGTCGTCATCGCCGCCATTGCTAGAGGTATCCGCATTGACAATCGAAGAATTGGAAGTTCCTGATTCATCCACATGGTTCCCCGAGCCTTGAGGAAGCTTCTCAAAGAACACGACGGAGTCCTCCTTATGAGTCGCATCAACCGAGTCGACATTGAGATTAAGATCAAACATCTTCTCTTAATCTCTCTCCGAAGTTCCCAATCCTAAATTCTAATAAGTTTTCTCTACCACGCGCCTTCGCAGTCGATCCAATTCAACATTCAAGCATCGATCACCGTGTTTGATCGAACAGTATAAATCAATCGTAATCAGAAACCACCAAACGACTAAAACAACAAATCGCACTAACAATTTGAATGGACAAGGTTTAACAAAAAAAACCAGAAACACAATCAAACGAAGAAAAAAAGTACAAGTAGATAGTTAACTAGAGCTTCGTCTCTTCCGTTTCCGGCCAGAAACGCCGCCGTTCGCCGGTCGCCAAACGGTAAAAGACAACAAAAAAAAAAAACTCAGTCAAAGAGAGAATCGAGCAGAAAAAGCTCTGGAGATATTAGCATTAGTCATCCCGTCGGCGAAGATACCGGCACCGGAGTAATCTGAAATTATTAGCAACTAAGTGATTCCAGGGCGGAGAAAGATGAAAGAAGAGGATGGGACGTATGAAGGAACATTTCAGACCCATTCTAAGAACAAGGGAATAATAATATATATAAACATTTTATTTCTCTCTCTCATCAAGCCAAATCACCGGTTTCAGCCGGTAACCGGTTGACTCTTGATATTGCCAAGGTAATAATCCTCTGTTTTGCAACGCATTTCTCCGTGGTGTTTCATAGACGGGAACAGCCGTCTGTATAACTAACCAACTAATCAACACGTAGCGGTCGTGTGTATGTGTACGGCGGATCCCTCCCTCCATAATATTCAAAACACATCTATCACCGTTCATTTTATTTTCGTGATTATTACAAAAATACTCTTTTCATGACTTACAAAAACCATTTTCTTTTTTTCACAAAATTTTATAAATTCATTTAAGGTATGAGAATTAATGTGATACTTTATTAGTTTTGAAAATAAAATATATTAATTTAAAAAGTTCGCGTGAAAATTACGTACAACACTTTATATTTAAATTTTTGTAACAATAATTGTCGTATTCGATGCACAAATGGTATGTCAGTAAAAAAGTAGGAAAAACATGCGTGCATGAGGGCAACCGTAACGTAATATTTTAGATATTTCGTAATACTTCAACAACATCGGGAAGCAACTCGTCTTAGCCTATCATGATACAAAAACAGAATCGCACGTTACTACAAAACAACAATTAAGAGACGAAATTTCAAGGAAAGAAATCTCGTGTGAGAAGTGTTATGCAAAACATTAGAGATCTGTCCCGTCCACAAGTGTGCTAGGTCTAGGCCCATATTGAACAACTGAGGTTGTTGAACTCAACACACCTGCCTTAAAACCATAAAGAAAAGACCCTCCCTCATCCACGAAATACTTATTTTAGGCCGACCACAAGGTCATACTTGACCGAGACTGACCATAGGGTTGATACTATACTTATATGAAAACAAATTTCATGCTAAGATATTACAAGCCGAGATTAAATGGTGTGTGACCCTATGGGGAGGTTATATGTAGGGTCGGCCTCGACCTTTTACCAAGGCTGAGGGCATGCAATTGTGTTTTTGAAAGTCATTCGTTATAAATACATACAGTAAATCTTTGAATGTTGGTTATGACTCAGTCATTTCAAAATAATCAAGGTTGAGTCAATGATAATACCTAAGTCAATGAAACATAATCACAAGAATCAAACTAATAATCATCCAAAAATCATAGAACTTAAGTAAATAGTATTAAAATCAAACATAATAACTTCATTACCTAAGAAATTTATCGATTATTATAATGTTCATATAAATTGTTCAAATACGAAATTGATAGAAATGGCTCTAAAAACAGATTGTTTTGAAATTAGAAAAGACAAGAAGAACCAAGCATTCAAACAAGGAGGTAGGGAAAAGATTGGGCAGAAACCCAATTACATGCCCTCAGCCTCGGTAAAAGGTCGAGGCTAACCCTACATATAACCTCTTTATAGGGCCACACACCCTTTAATCTCAGCTCGTGATATCTTAGCTTAGTACCAGGGCCACACACACCATTCAATCTTAGCTTGATCCGGGTTCATCTTTAACCTAACCAACCGGTAAAATGCAAAAATGTATAAGAATTTTAAATATAAATACCATACAAATGTTTTTTATAAGATTTGTATGAGTTGAAAAGTGTTTTATAAAGAGTTAAAACATAGCTGTAAATAGCAATTAAAGGTATTAAGCACAGAAATTAAAAGTTTATAAAGTAGTTTGAAATACTTTTTGAAAAATAATTTTATTTCTTATCAACTCCTATTAGTTTATTCATATTCTTTCTTTACTATAATCTCTCTACAATTTTTCATAAATTGTAATTATTATTATTATTTTTTAACCTCAGATTTAGTTTGAACGTTGTTTCAGAATCTTTGAAATGTATGTGTTGTTTTGATAAAGTTTAAAAAGATAAGAGTTTATGTTTAATTCAAATATTCAACCGTTCTAATTATAAAAAGTCTCGACTAATTTTCAACTATCTATTTCAATCTTTCTTTTTAAAAGTCAACCTTTTAAGAATTTATTCCAGAAGTTTATAAGATTTAATAATCCCAACCGTTCAGATTACCCAACTTAAACTGGGTTAGGCTTGTTTATATATTTTTTCCGGTTTGAGTTCAGTTAATTTTTGAAAAAGTGAAATTCAAGTCAATTTGCTGGTTGACTTTTTCATGTTAGGTCAACTCGAATCAATCCGTAAATAGAGTTATAACACCATCCATCCCTACCCTACTTTTAAGATTATTATGAAGATTAAGAATATTTGACGTTGTAACCGGTGTTGATGATGCATTGTGACTTATGACGGTTTGATATTTGCATTTTATGAAAAATTATTTATTAATATAATAAATAATTATGATTTTTTAAATAATTAAAAAATAAGAATGGGTGATTTGGACTCCGGGTTAATTTAAAATTCAAAAAAAGAAATCAGTCATCTTTAAAATTAAAATTCAAATTAAAATTAAACTTTTAATTTCATAAATTTAAACATTATATTTAGTTGGTTTCCTTTACCTTTTTAATTTTTAAGGTAAAGATTGCAATATTTAGAAATTAATATTTTTTACTTTGTTATGTTTTTTTTTTATATTTATTATTGAAATCTACTTTATTTTATTAAATTTTCCTGTTTAAAAAATAATAATTTTTGTTTTTTATATTATAGTTCTATTATATATTAAAGTAAAAAATAAGCATCTATATCAATATATTGAGACGACCAGGTACTAAGCAAATAAATATAATGTCATATAATAATAAATAAAAAATTTCAAAAAATTTTATTTACTTCTTAAAAAACTAGAACATAAAATAATTTTTTTTAAAAATATTATAGATAAAAATACATTTTTAAAACCTTAAAATCAATAAATATTTTTAAAAAATTTAAACTCAAATAAACTAACTAACGGTGTAATTTAACATTTATTAATGTGGTTCCTTAACTTGAATTTCTCCCGACAAAATACTGAATAAAATGTTAATATTTAATTTTATATTATGGGAGCTAAACTAAATATTTTATTTCTTTATATTTAAGGTCTAAACCCTGAACTCTAAATGATTAAACATGAGCGGTGTAGGCTGTTATAGTTTCGTAGGTTGACAAGTCAATCACGTTTTTGGGCTTCAAATATTGTGTTGGGTTGCCGCAAATGTTGACCAACCTGTGTTGGGGTTATTATTTTTTTTTAAATTTCATTTTATTAAACTATATAGGGTTTTGAGACATAGGTGTAACATGTTTGAGTGTACATTAAAATAAGTTATCATAGGAAACATCAAAATCTTTAGGAAATATCAAATTGTCTAAAGTACACACATTTTGATCTACTTACTTCTCTTCTCTCCCTTTTCCCTATGTTCAACCTGATTCCTTCCTTATTTTTTATTTAACAATCTTATTGTATATGCGATGTTAATGTAAGTTTGTGTAACAACGAGCAGATATTATCCGCTTTGGCACGTTATGTATTATTGTCAGCCTCACGATTTTAAAACGTGTCTACTAGACAGAGGTTTCCACACTCTTATAAAGAATGTTTTGTTTTCCTCTCCAACTAATATGAGATCTCACAATCCACAAGCCCAACGTTCTCACTGGCACACGTCCGTTATCTAGCTATAATACAATTTGGTACAACCCAAGTCTACTGCTAACCGATATTGTCCGCTTTGGCCTTACGTATCATCGTCAACCTCACGATTTTAAAATACATCTACTATAAAGAGGTTTCCACACCATTATAAAGAATATTTTGTTTCCCTCTCCAACCGATGTAGAATCTCACAATCCACCCCTCTTGAGAGCCCAGCGTTCTCACTAGCACACACCCCTATATTTGGCTCTAATACCATTTGTACAACCCAAGTTCACTGCTAGTAGATATTGTCTGTTTTGACCCATTATGTATCTCTGGCACACAGCCTATGTTTGGCTCTAATACCATTTGGTACAACCCAAGTCCACTGACAGTAGATATTGTCCGCTTTGGCCCACTATGTATCGTCGTCAGCCTTGTGATTTTAAAATACGTCTACTATAGAGAAGTTTCCACGCATTTATAAAGAATGTTTCGTTTCCCTCTCTAACTGACGTGAGATCTCACAATTTAAAAATTCGAGAGCTACTAATTTGTTTGTGATAATAGGATGTTTTAAAAAATTTATTTAAAAAAAAAAATTAACTATGTATTTAATGGTATTTTTAGACGAAAAATAGATGACCTACACGTGGCGGTGAGAAACTAAAAAAGGCAAAGGAAAATATATATATAAAAAAAGGAAAAATAGAGCGGATAAATTAGTTCCTTCCCCATTGGGTAATCCTCAGCCTTAAAACATTTTACTAAACCTATTTTCTAATTATAGAAACCCCACGCTACCTCAGCCATTACCAATTACAACCTTCCTATCTTCCCTAGCCGGTTGCAGGTAATCTTAGTATCCCCACTTCTAGCTGTACTCGTAAATCTTTTCACCTGCCAATAAGGACGTGCCACGTCACAATAGTTCCAATTTGAGTAATTTAGGTTAAAATTATGCATTATTATCTATAATGTTAGTTTTAATTAATCTCTATTTACTGGGCCAAATCTCACTAATTGCTTTTAAGCTATTATTTAATATAATATAATAACTATTAAATTTAAATTAAGTCACGATTGTTGTTAAATTTTTTTTAATTAAATATGAGGATTCAAACATATATTAATGAATAATATATGAGAATTTAATTTCCAGTTCTACTTTTTTTAAACTAAAGTAATAAATAAATAAAACCTAAACTATAGGATATATTATTTAAACCAATTAATTAATGTCATTAAAGATAATAATACCTTATTAGATACGTTGTGATGCTATTTTATGGAAAAACAAAGAATATATTGTTAGAATAAAAATCTAAATTAGTTATAATATTATTTTTCTTTTTCGGTTTTCAATTAAATAAATTAGGTTTTTTTGGGTACAATTATATAAATTAGGCTTAATTATCATTATAGTATTTATAATTTGAGTTTAATTTAAATTTGGACCACATTACTTTAAAAACTTTAACTAATCTCTATAATTAAACACTAATTTAACTATAATTTGCTTAAATCTCACCATTGCCTCTAAACTATTTTTTATTTCTTAGTTTTAAATTTTATTATCACTAATAGTTTTAAATTTTATTACGAGGAACGAAATAAAAAAATGAATTCATTTCCACGAAAATAATAAAATGCAATAATAGAGACCATTAATAAGATAAAGATGAAACTATATATTATAGATTAATATCAAATTAAAATCAAAATCAAAGTTATGCCATTAATATAAATTTAATAATTGAAGAAATAAAAATTAATATTATTAATTAAATAACATATCATAACATCTATGACAAAGAGTTTTGACATACAAAACCAAAATTGAAACAATTGGGATGAAGCCTAATTGCATAGCGTCGGCCTCGTAGATGAGGCCGACCCTATATTTGGCATCTAAACGGGGCACGTACCATGCATGCACTTGGATTGTAGTATTTTAGTTCAACTCGAGCCGGTTCGTTTTTAACCTAATTTAGAAAGAGATAGACAAAAACACTTCAGGTGTTGTATAAATACACTGTTGAGCAGTTTTGTAGGTAAGGTTTTTCCTCGTTTAAACAAAGTTTATCGTTGTTGTCACATGAAAGTCAAGTGTGTTAAAATGTCTAAATAATGACAACGATAAGTATTTTTGTGCGGAAAAGTCAAAAATTTAATCGAAACTACCAAACATTTACTGGCGAAAGCCAACTAGACTATTTTAATTGCATGAAATAAATTAAAATCTTATGAAAATAAAACGATCAACACCCCATAGTCATACCTCAATTATTTCTACACAAACTTATTATCAAAATTATAACTATTCATAACATAAATGTGGTTTTATTGAAGCTTAAAAGGTCGAGCCCTACGAGCCCTAATTAAATGAAGTATAGTTGCAAGAATCAAGTCGAGCTTGAAAATATAACTCCCGAGCTCAACGTAACAATAATCTAAGGTACACCTTAGAGCATTAAAGTTAACTCCCGATAATCAATTTTCAAGAATTAAGGAAAAAAGATCCCAACATAAGATAAAATTGGGACAACACAGAAAGATCATGCCATGGAGAAAAAAGCTCGGCAAGAGGCGAACTCTACCATTGACTTCTCAAAATAGCACGTGTCATGCACAACTCACTGATATGCAAATTTTTCCTCTCGTAAATCACATTCTTCGTTCTTCAAATAAATTTTATCGTTGTTGTCACGTGAAGGTCGACAGTGTTACTCCGTCAAGATTTTGGCAATAATGCTTATAAAAATTTATAGTTTACTTCGGTTAAGGGCTAATATTGTAATCGAACAATTATTATTTTTCTAATATAAATTTTTATCGGTACAAATTAATTTTATTATTATTTTAAAAAATAAATAAAATTTGTAAACCAAACCCACTAGAAATGTAGCCAAAATCCAGGAGGTCTACCTACAAAGGAATCATAAATTATAGTAATAAAATAAATAAATAAATAAATAAATAATGAATTAAATTGGCCCAACTAGATATCAACAAATCAAACTTTGTTTCAAACCGCACTATGATCATACTGACCCAGACGCACTCACTGCCTTAAAATTTACGTGAACCACACGCGACCCATTACCCAAATTAATTTATTAATATAAAAAAAAAATCATAATTTAAAACGTATTAAATTTCCGATTCTATCCTCCTCCATTCAAATAATTAAAACATATCCTATATTGACACATTAAAATTTTAAAAAAAAATCAATAAATTCAATATTTAATTAAATTTCACAAATTATCCTAATATATATTTATAGTATTAAAGATTAATTTTGAAATTCTTAATTAAATTAAAAATATTGGAACCATTTATTTTAAGGGGGGAGAAATGTTGTCGGCAGGCACATTGGAAAGTTGTCGACGTGGACGTTCTGCATCCATTCGTACAAAGTCATTTTTATAATATTTTAAACGTTGGGTTTTCATAAACTTTTCTATTTTTATAATATTTTTATCTTCAAGATATTTAGTACTACTTTTCTTAATCTTCCTTTTTATAGTGTGAAATTACGTTGTTGACCTCCCACATGTTTCTTAGTATTTATTTTCGGAAGTTTTTAATTATTGCTTGGAATTGTCCCATTTATCTCTACCGCTTTTATTTATTTATTTATTTATTTTTATATAGAAATAAATAGATTACAAAATAAAAATATCAATAACCAAGTATATTTTTTTTTCTAATTACATTAAATGATTTCTAATCTTTTAAATAATTTTTTATTATTAATATTTTAAGTTTGTTGCATAATTTCATTACCATATTTATGAATGCGTTACTCAAATGTTACTTTTAACCCATAAAATTCGACTTCAAATGTTACTTGAACATATAAAACCCGACTTTTACAAATAAAAGTTAGACCTATTTAGCAACAAAGTCAGTGATTTCATTACTATATTTATGAATGCATTACTCAAATGTTACTTTAACACATAAAACCCGGCTTTTACAGATAAAAGTTGACTCGTTTAACATCAAAATCAGTAATTTCATTACTATATTTATGAATGCGTTACTCAAATGTTATTTTAACACATAAAACCCGACTTTTACAGATAGTATTTGACCTGTTTAACAATAAAGTCTATTTGTTTGTAGTGACACGGTATATATCCTAATATGTTAATAAGTAAATAATTTAATGATACATTAACTTTTTGTTCACAAAGTGTAACAATTTCATTCTGAACGACTTTTTGAAATTAAAAAATTCCACTGAAATGAAGATTTTTATGTGGCGAGCTTGTGTTGTGATATATGTTGGATGATAAAAATCCCACGGCTAATTTAAGGAATGATTATAGGTAAAATCAAGGAACACTATCTTCATTAGTATGAGGCCTTTTAGAGAAATCCTAAGCAAAGTCATGAGAGCTTATGTTCAAAGTGGACAGTATCATACATGGTTGCCGATGAGTGCAAATAGTCATAGCTTGGACCAAGAAAATGGGTAGTTTTTAAAGGATTTGTTGAGCTTGGTGAACCTAACTTTCAAGAAGGGAATATATTTGACAATTGAAGTACCCATATGTCCTTACAAAGGCCCCCACGCACTAATTTCATCACCAAAGCATCCCTTACTATTTGAGAGGAAACAATTTTCCCTGTCAAAGTGAGGCGGTCGAGAATAAGGAACTCGATTTAACATGTTACGACGAACAATACACACATTGTGGTAAATGACCAACAATTCCAAGTACACAAATGGTAAGCCGCTCATGTTTTACATCGCTCAGTTGTGTTTGTCTTTACTATCAATGAATACGTGGTTATAGAGAATTGAGACGTTAAAAAAAATTCATGTTTGTAGATGCATACGAGGGATTACGATGTCGTGGGGGTGGAAGGCATGTCGACATGAAGTCACAATGGTCGGATCTCGAACGGAGGAGAAACAGAAAGGAAGACCGAAAGTTTTGGAAATAGAGAGAAACGTAGTTTGAAAATCTTCGAAGTAGTCGAACGAGCCCAGAGAGAGGAGCTAGCCCGACCAACAACCCTAGAGGGTGTGCGAGCTCACCTGGTGGGCCCATGCTCGCACATGTAGGTTGTGTGTAGAGAAGTACTACACATCTAGCTTGCTCGGACTGGAGGCCACTATTTTAAAGAAAGATCTCATTCATGTTTTGCATTCCATGGATTCAATAACAGAGTCTAATGGTGAAGTCACTTCCTTAAATATTTATCCTGAGCTACTCTTATATTTTAGATAAAGGCAAGGCACATCAGTTCGGGTGACGACAACGTCGCATTGAAGACCATAAAACCTACCTTAGAGTAGTTGCATTCGTTTTGTAAAATTATTTTAAATGAATGTTTCCAAATAAAAATGTCATGTAATGTCATGCATATAGTAACGATTCTATATCAGTAGCAGGTACACTTAAGTTTTAAAGAAATAAATAATAAAATCATCCTAGTCACAAATTATTGAGAAACCTGTGTAATAAAAAAAAAAAAAAAGAAAGAAAATCCAAATAATGATGCCTCTCAACCACGAGAGAAGCAATTAAAATAAAGAAACCTCGAAAAAAAACAAGGAATATTAAATAGAATTAAGAACAACAACTGGCCATTACCAAAATCAAGAGATTATCCAATAAAATAACTCACAATTATTAATCTTATGGCTCAATCTTTTCAGGATTTTTTTAATTTGAATTTTCTAGAAAAGCATATTGTAGAGATAACCTTCACATGAATCACAACTGTATATCATAACAAATCCATCAATTCAATTCCTATGGATAAAGTCAAGAGTTAGCGACAAATATCAAGCAAATAATTTAACATTTTTAAAGCATACAAAATCTTGTACGTGTATACATTTAAATAGTGAATTAAAATATATATATATATATATATATATATATATAAAATTAGAAGAAGTTAAAGATAAATTGGACATTTTCTCAAAGATCGAACTCTAAAAATAAAATGCGTGAGTGCACTGAACATGATGCCACAAATAAAATAGAATAAAATATAAAAGGAGGAGCATCGTATATTTATAACAATATAATATAAAGCGACAAAACATTTCGAGGAGATTAAGATGTCTGAAAGTTAATGATAAAGAAAAGCTAAGTCCAATGTATTAGTGACTAAATGCCTCATTAATTTATTGCAAACAGCATCGGATCATTTCTGTACTTAAAAGCTAAACATGTTCAGACATTCATTGAAAAAACAAAAAAAAGAAGTACCAAATTTGAATACCAATTTGCAATTCTTTTAAAAGCATAAAAAATACCTCAGTTGCTGGCGGGGTCAATGGCTCACATGTCAAATAGAACACAATCTGCAAGAGAGAGAAAGAGAAAGGATAATGAGTCCAAATGGGAAGGAAAAGAAGGCAGAAAAGAGAATGAATCCTTAAAAAAGTTTGAGGAACAGAAAATGTCAAATGTTTGGACTCCCCACAGCTACAAACCAACCTTTTTCTTGTTAAAATAAAGCAGTGGAGGAAGATTTCAAGTACTTTTATGTCTACTTGGGCTAAAACAAAATCACCCCAGTCCTTTTCTTCTATGCATTGCTTTCCCCCCACCCCCCTTTCTTTAACCTTCTATTGGTTTATTACCCATAGAAAAGAAAACAAGATCATGAAGAACTAAAAGAAAAAGATGTAAACTGTTCTACATCTTTAGTAGGTAGGTATGTGGGACAGGGAAGTAATTGGCTGAGAATTTTACCCCCCCTCTTCCTTTTGAAGGGTTTCCAGAATTCAATCTAAATACGATTTTATTCCCAGAGATGAATCTTATCATAGTTTTTAAAAAGCAATGATACAGGGAACAGCAGGTAGGGCTTTTGGTTAATATTTGTGTTTCATTCTTCCATTTGAAGGTTTTTGGGTTGAACTAAAAGGTTTGTGTTTTGATGGCATTGTCACTCCACCCAACATGAATCTTATCATCATATAAAGCACATTTTGTTTTCTTTTTGATATTATGTCCAAAGCAAACTATGGCCAAGAGACAGCCAATAATACAACTTAACCTTATATAACTAACACGTGGTAAATTTGACAACCAACAAAGACAGGAGTTACAGAAGGTAAATCAGGATTTTATTTGTAGAGTAAAGGACAAAATTTCAAGGTGAAAACATCTGTTTCTAACTGGCTGGCTTCATGTTTCTATGTTTCTTCAGCTTTTCTTTTCTTTTCCTTGATTTGTTTCTTTTATGTTCCTTAGTTTGTTCTTCGTTTGTGACAATTGCAGGGCCAATATTCCTTTTCTCTGTCGAAGGATTCGATAAGTTGCTGCATTATTTATTCCTTGTTTCTCAAAGTTCAAGATAATTGGTGGATCTCGATCAGGTTTTAAAATATAAAATACAAAGTGGGTAGGATTAGTTAAATCATCTACACTAAAATAAACTAATGGGAATGGAGAATCTACTAGAAAGAGCATAAGTTACTGGGAAACATATCTGCAATTTTAAAATGAGAAGTGTTTTAGCAAACCACCTTCCTTAATTTGACAGCATCGAGATTGCTTTCTTTCAACCATCCACTTGCAAAAATGCCCACAAAAATGTTCTAGAGAACCTGCTCTGGTTTCCAGCAAGCAAGCCATCTTCCTTGATAGAAAACCCTGAAATGTAGAAACATAAATCAACTCCAAATTTTCATTTTTCCTGAAGTAGACCAAGTCTTAGGACAGGATATAACATTGATTACAAACCTTCAGGTTAACTCCTTTCTTTTTTCCTTCCACAGCTTGCAGTACTTGAAAGTTAGGAATAATGAAACATTCACGTGACCATAAAATATGTTAGTACATAGAAATGTTTATTCTCCATATTTAGAACATACCACAATTCCTTTGTTTTAATAGTCTACCACAATCGTCAATGCATCAACAGAATTTTTGTTAAAGCATGCAAGGTTCAATCTTAAAATGTTTGTGGCTATAATCATCAAGAGTTGCAAGGACCAGAAAACTTGGAGAGAACTAGTTCAATTTATGGTAGATACCATTTTTTTTTACAACCAACCAAATGTAGTAGGGTTGGACAGTTGTCTCGTTGATTAGTCGAGTTGTGTGCAAGTGGACTTAGACACTCACAGATACATTAAAAAAAAAAAAAAAAAAATCAAAACATATTCCATAACCTGTAGAACTTCAATCGATATAGGTAAATGTCATAAGGCATCATTGTATCAATTAGGAGCTGGCTGGAGCACGATCAAATTGGTGGCAACCTTGTTCCAGCATTATAATGAATCAACATAACGTCCTACCCGTACTTTCCAAACATTTTTATCACTAAGAAATTAGACAAACAGTTACACTCCACACAAATCATCCGCAGCTTTGATATCTTTTCCATCTTCCATGTCCGGTTGGTTAGTTCTAAGCTATCCGCTTAACATAACATGATCAAAAAGAAAATGGTAGAATAATCATGGATTCTCATGAAATAGGAAAAATATTCACTGTAATTTCAAATGTTAAAATTGAACATGAAATGAGAATCCAAATCATAATTCGAAATTAATGAACTATTTCCTCATTAACCGACCATTAACAACAGGAAACCACCAATTCAGCATAAGTCTCGTATATGCATGACAAGCCTGAGATTTTTAGCAGTCCCATTCACGTTGTGCATTTTCCAAAAATAGCTGATAATATCACCGTGTCATGCATTAATGTCATAAAGTCAAACAACCAAAAAACAACAAAGCTAAAGAGAAACCTAGTACGGAGTATATCTTAGGCTTAATAGTAGAATATAATACACTAAAAACATCAACTTCTCGTAGCATCCTTGGTAAATTTCAGATAATGAAGCTGGGAGATAAGTCATTAACATCATGGAGGCAATGATATTGAATTTGCAACTATCAGTTCAAAATGTTTTGGAGAAAACAAAGAGTAAAGTGTTTTGAGAGTACTTGAGCTTCTAACTTATGTCCATCAAGATTTTTAATTGAAGAGAAGGCGCTGTTTATGTTGGTACCGTTCTTCCTAGGGAGTAACAGAAACCTTGACGGTGACTCTCATTGATCTCAGCTCCACTTGGTTCTTTTCAATTGTCACTCGGCAATGAAATTCCGGATGAGGTTATGATAAAAGGGAAAGTTAGGGGTGGAGACATTGGAGACTTTGCAATCTTGATGAACCTCTGATCTATGAGAGATGATGGAAATGATGAGTTATGAAACATTGTTAGAAGCACTTTCTCTAGTTTTGACTGCCCCTATCTCGCTTAAAACTTAAACAAGTTGAGAAGATATCATTAAACATAAAGATCCGTTGACATCAGAGCCATTTGAGCATTATATCAGCTAAAGGGCAATAATCAGTGAAAAGTGTTCCAACCAGATTTTGCTTCAAGCACCAAACAAATTGTCACAGAATGAGTCAATGAACCATAGTGCTATAACAATACAGATATTGAAAATCTTTCATGGGTTTGTAGGTTAATGAAAAAAGAGAAGAGCCTCCACATGCAGAATTCACAGCAATTTTATTAGATAACTGAATCGAGTTTGAGAGATGCAAGTTAAGTGTGCACAGTCAATCTCTCGCAAAAGCACTATATGATACAGACTTATTCAGATCCATTTCTATAACGTAAACGAATGCATATAACTGCATTTCATTTAATCTCCAGTCACGTTTGAGTTGCAAACTTATGCCTGTCTATACAGAAGGTGATCAGATAAACGCTCTGGCACTTGACATCAGACATTGGTTGGGAATAAACTCTAAAAATAGATGAGTAAGATCAGCATTCATTTTTCTTTTCCGTTTACAATCTTCATTATTCTAACCAATGATTGTTGATTATCTATAGGCTATGTATGGATAGTCCACGAAATCCCAGTCCTAACAAGCACCTGAATTGTGTTCTATTTAAATATTCAATGCCGTTGCAGGTAAATCATTGCAATTGAACTAATATGTACATACCTCGAACTGCATTACATACCTCGAACTGAATTGTGTTCTATTTAAAGAAAAAGTCGCATGTCAGCAGAAAGTAGTTGAACATGCTTCAACTTAAGCAACCATATATTCCAATTGATACTCCAATCCAATCAACGAAAATTTTCTGATATAACATAAAAGATAATTAACAAACCCGAAAACTAGGAAAGAATTACACTTGCGTTTTCCCAATTCAAGCTGGACCAACAAGCTCTGTCAAGACACCAAATGGGATTCCACCAAATAAGGCCTCGTCTAAACCTTTTACATGTAGAAAGATGGCCAGTTAAATGCTCGTTTTGAAGTCTTTGATCCATAAGAGAAAGCACCAATTGATGCAACTAGATCATCACCTCTAAAAGCAACAGAAGTCAGGGATGTGGAAAGCATAAACAAAAAGAAATCCTCTTAGACAAGTATAATGGGCTTGACAATCAATAAATAGAAACAACTAATTTCTTACCGTCTGATAAGGAGGAGAAGCAATTTAAATAATGTGCGCAACTGCTGATGCAACTTCCAATAATCCCACGTCCAATAACTCCATCAACTCAAATTCAGTTAAGGATAAAGCTTCCTGACACAAATTAAATAAACCAATACTGCAATTTAATTTTCTATAGACTAGAACCGGCACCAGGGCTGAAAACTAATCCAACCAAGAACAGAGAACAAGCCTGGAAAAATATTTCAAAAGAGAAACTCTCGTTCAATACGTGACATTATGAACCAAGTCTAAATTAAGAACCATTGCCATTGTTCAATTTCTACGTAAAGAAATTCCAATTAGCAGTCAATCGAGAAACTGAAAAAAGAAGTTAGCCTAAACTACATAATTGAAAGCTTCACATCGGTTCCTATGGCGTATTAAACACGAACTGGACGAATAAATCGAGGAATTAATGAAGAAGATACACGAAGTTCAATCATTACCTTGGCTGTGTTAATAATTCGCTCTGCGAAAATATTAGTTATCGATTTCGGTAATCTCATCTGATTAATTAATTTGTTCGTCATTCCATCTCCCTCAATCTCTCTGTCAAACCAATCTATCTCGGTCCGCTTTTCCTTCCTCGCCAAATGCGAAACCCTAGAATGGTTGATCTGGTAAGCAGTTGAAATGGCGGCAAAAAAACTGGAAGAAACAGAGTGGCCAGATTTTTTATTTTATCCCCCTTTTTTTTTTTTCAATCTATTTTTTTTTTTAATTTCTCAAATGTAATTCTTTTTTTAATAAATTTTATGGTTCTAAAATCACACTAAATAACATATACTAATCATTCAAAACCTCTTTAAATCAAATGAAAATTAGTATTAATTTTAATTTATAACAATAAATTAAATTTTTAACAAGTATAAGAAATATTCAAATATTTTAAAAATCAGCAGATTTATTTGAATTTTATATCCAATAAAATTTTAAAATTTTAATTTTATATAATAAGTTAGGAAGTGGTATAAGTCGAGTGTATATGAGACACTATATGACATCCCACATTGGTTAGAGAGAAAAAAACGAAACATTTCTTATGAAAGTGTTGAAACCTCTTCCTAGTTGATGCATTTTAAAATCATGAGACTTTGGGTTGTTACAAATGGTATTAGAGACAGACACCGGAGTTGCTCCCAAGGGGATTCCTTATAAGGGTATGGAAACCTCTCCCCAGTAGACACGTTTTAAAACTGTGAGATCCCACATTGGTTGGAGAGGGGAATGAGAGGAACAAAACATTTCATATAAGGGTGTGGAACCCTAGATGCGTTTTTAGGAGAATAAAACATTTCCTTACAATGGTGTGGAATCCTAGACGGAACAAGGGGAATAGTGGAAGCCTAGACGCGTTTAAAACCGTGAGAGGGGAACAGTGGAACCCTAGATGCGTTTTAAAACCGTGAGAGGGGATCAAACCATTCCTTATAAGGGTGTGCAACCCTAGACACGCTTTAAAACCATGAGGAGAACGAAACATTTCTTATAAGGGTATGGAATCCTAGACGAAACGAGGGGAATGGTGGAACCCTAGACGCGTTTTAAAACGGTGAGAGGTGAACGAGGAGATCAAAACATTCCTTATAAGGGTGTGGAACCCTAGACACGTTTTAAAACCATGAGAAGAACGAAACATTTCTTATAAGGGTGTGGAATCCTAGACGAAACGAGGAGAATGGTGGAACCCTAGACGCGTTTTAAAACGTAAGAGGTGAATGAGGAGAGCGAAACATTCCTTATAAGGGTGTGGAACCTTAGACGTGTTTTAAAACCCCTATATCTATAAAGTTTAGAGACCAAATAGACAGAAACTTAAATGTCGGTTGAAAATGAATATAAATAAAACCCTATATCGAGTTAGGGCTTACAAAATCTTAAATCAAACTTCACCGCAGGTGAAAGCAAAGAAGGAAGTATAGAGACCTATAGGCTCTCTATAAAGATATCCAAATTGAAGTGGAAGAAGAAATATATTAATCTCATGATGTTGAGCTTCACTAGACAATGTTGAGTGCCGTCGTCCCCGTCTCATCATTGCTCATTATATGTTTCCCATTACGCAAAGCAATCATACTCGTTTTCATTTTCACTTTCAACCTTACTTCAAACCAATAGTATTTGTAGAAACCTAATTTTTTTCGTGAAATCTCGTACTTTCAAATTTACTCGGTGTAATGGTTATGTAATAGAGGATGATATTTAACACGGGTGATCGATGATGTTACAATCCAAGTTGGATGAATTTTATCTAAAGAAAACTAGACCGCTATCAACCCTTAGCCCTACTTAATTAGTTCAAAATTATGAGTATTCGACTGCTTTTGAAATGGTTATATGTTGATGCATACCTTGGCTAGCATTTAGCCCATAATACTTAAATCGGTTGGAGCATACCTTCACTAGCATTTAGATCTTGAAACCTAAAAGGGTATGTGGATACATAAAATAAAATTATAGAAGCAAGCAGAGTGTGAAAACTTTATAAGGATGTGAAAATCTCTCCCTAATAGATACGTTTTAAAACTGAGGCTAATAATGATACGTAACGGACCAAAGCGAATAATATGTGCCAGTGGTGTGCCAACGAGAACACTGGACCCTAAAGGGGGGTGGATTATGAGATCTCACATCGATTGGAGAAGGAACGGAACATTCTTATTATAACGGTGTAGAAACCTCTTCCTAACAGATACATTTTAAAATCGTGAGGCTGACGACGATACGTAACGAGCCAAAAACGGACAATATTTACTAGCAGTAGGCTTGGGTTGTGACACAAACTCATTTATTGTGTAGGTAGAGACATACAAGGCTACAACAAAACCCATCATTCTTTATTATAAGGGTGTGAAACCTTTCCCTAATAGTCGCATTTTAAGATCGTGATGCTAAGATAGATTGTGAAATCTCACATTGGTTGAAGAGGGGAACAAAGCATTCTTTATTATAAGGGTGTAGAAACTTCTCCCAAACAGACGCGTTTTAAAATCGTGAGGCTAAAGACGATAGGTAACGAGCTAAAGCATATAATATCTACTAGCAATTGACTTAAACTATTACTCAAACTCATTGATTCTGTAGGCAGAGCCATACAAGGCTACAACACAACCCGTCATTCTTTATTATAAGGGTGTGAAACCTTTCCTTAACAATCGCGTTTTAAAACCATGAGGCTTGGGTAGGTTGTGAAATCTCACATCGGTTGAAGAGGGGAACGAAACATTCTTTATTATAAAGGTGTGAAAACTTCTCCCAAACAGACGCGGTTTAAAACCGTGAGGCTGACGACGATACGTAACGACCCAAAACGGGCAATATCTACCAACGGTGGGTTTGAGCTACTGCACAAACTCATTCATTATGTAGGTAGAGCCATACAAGGCTACAACACAACCCATCATTCTTTATTATAAGGGTATGAAAAATTTTCCCTAACAGTCGTGTTTTAAAACCGTGAGGTTGGGGTGAAATGTGAAATCCCACATCGGTTGAAGAGGAAAACGAAACATTATTTATTATAAGGGTATGAAGACTTCCCCTTAACAAACGCATTTTAAAACGGTGAGATTAACAACGATACATAATGAGTTAAAACAGACAGTAACTACAAGCTCAGCCTACGAGGCTATAACACACCCAGATGGGGGTTGGAAATAGACTTGAGTGATCAAATATGGTGTTGTGGTGGTAGCTACCTAGCTTTAAACCCAAAATACCATAATTGAAAAATGCAGTCCTGTCAGTGTTGGTGCTGCTACCTTAGCTTAGCCATAGCCTTAGCCATAGCCACATGAAGTTAATACCCAGAGAGCCTTACAACACAAGCACCACCACGCCCAAGCCAACCCAACGCCATCCTTGGCTTCAATTATTTAAACCCCAACCATCCATTCACCACCTTGTTCAAACAAACCACATAGCCACACACAATCATAATGTTCGCTAATTATTTTTGCCTCTTCCTTTCTCTCTTTGTTCTTCACTTAACATCAATTTCTTCACATGTATAACACTCAATTTCCTCCACTTAATCTAATTTTCTCCCCCCCCCCCCCCCCCCCCCCCCCCCCCCCCCCCCCCCCCCCCCCCCCCCCCCCCCCCCCCCCCCCCCCCCCCCCCCCCCCCCCCCCCCCCCCCCCCCCCCCCCCCCCCCCCCCCCCCCCCCCCCCCCCCCCCCCCCCCCCCCCCNCCCCCCCCCCACTAAGCTTATATTCATATGTTTACGTGTTTAATGTAGGTGTATATAGTGTATTTAGGGCACACCCATCTCGAGGATGCAACTTTGACCTCCGAATCTCATCTTCGTTTGCTTTCTAAAGTATTTGCAAGGTTGATTATATATATATATATATATATGCACGTGTGATTCTTACTAACGTTAGAAGTATATAATAAATAAAATGGTATCCGTGCAGTGAAGAAGATGGTAAACGAGCCATGTTGTATAGCTACAAGCGTAGCTTTTCTGGGTTCTCCGCGAAGCTCAATGCAAGCCAAGCAATGACGTTATCAAGTAATTAATTGATCGAACTCGGTTAAGAATTCGATGAAATTTAACTTAATATGAAATGGGTATTAGTTTATGAGTTTGATATTGAAAGGAATGCATGCAACATTGCCATGCAGAGATGGAAGGAGTGATATCCATATTCATGAGTAGAACTATGGAGCTCCACACAACAAGAAGTTGGGACTTCTTGGGGCTTCCCATTCCTTCGTATAGCGGTAGTAGAACGCCTGATACACCACGTTCGCGTAAGCTGGCCGATGGTGATGATGTTGTTGTTGGCATCTTCGATTCAGGTCTTTGGATTAATTTGCATAATATTCGTTAATCATATGTCTTGTGTCTGTGTAAGTTAAATTACAAATTTATTCTCTATGATATATGACCAAATTTGATTTTTAGGCATATGGCCTGAATCGGAAAGTTTCGAGGATGATCAGTGGATGTTTCCGGTTCCATGCAGCTGGAAGGGAAAATGCGTGAAAGCGTATAGATTCAATCCTGCATTAGCTTGCAATCGCAAGCTAATTGGCGCTCGTTACTATCTCAAAGGTTTCGAGGCCGAATACGGAGGACTCAACACAAGCGGGAACCCTGAGTTTGAATCGCCTCGAGACTTTTTGGGGCACGGAACTCATACGGCTTCAACGGCCGTGGGTGGCATTGTAGAGGACGTGAGCTTCACAGGGTCGTCACTCGGAAAAGGCATTGCTCGAGGAGGAGCGCCAAGAGCTAGGCTGGCAGTGTACAAGGTGTGCTGGGGAAAGGACTACGAAGGGAAGTGCACGGATGCAGACGTGATGGCTGCGTTTGACGACGCTTTATGCGACGGAGTCGACGTTATCTCGGCATCGTTTGGAGGGTCGCCACCATTGGCTCCATTTATTGAGTCTAGCAGTGCGATTGGGTCGTTCCATGCCATGCAGAAGGGAGTGAGTGTTGTGTTCTCAGCTGGTAACGATGGACCTTATCGTTCACTCGTTCAAAATGTATTTCCGTGGAGCATTTGTGTTGCTGCTTCAACTATGGATCGAACCTTTCCCACTCAAATACTCATCCAAAACCGGATCTCTATTGTGGTTACCTCTCTTCTCTCTCTCGAACAAAATATTATTATAACCTTATT